TCCAATCACATCTTTATGGAGCTCATTTTGTGCACAGGGGCTCAGTCATGCTGGAACAGGAAAGGCCACAAAGATGGCATATAATTGTCTAAAATGTCTTTGTTGCTGTAGCATAAACATTACTCTTTACTGGAACGGAGAAGCCCGAATCCTGAAAAACAGCCCCAGTTCATTATCCCTCCTCCACCAAACTGTACTTATTTAGCACTAAGCTATTTACGTTATATATCTGAATCTCAGATTGCTCCATGCTCCCTACATAGTGTACTAAAATACTTGCTCCTGCACTGAAGCAGTGCATAATATAGCTAACAGGTCATTTGGGGTTCAGCTACATCTTTACTCGACTAACACTTCTCTTTTTGGGTGTAGAATCTAGGATTTCTCAACTTACATAGCGCAGTATGTAGAGAGTTGAGAGCTGTTTGAGATTCAGCCTGGGTTTAATGCCACATAAGGCAGGTCTGACTAAAACAGAGACATTTGAAGTATGTAAGACATTTTGTAATATTTAATATTTTAGAACATTTTATAGTGAAATATAGTAAGCACTATAATTCAAAACCTGTGACAGTTGATTTGTTCAAACGTGCTTCAAACGTGGCACAACCAGTCGAATTTAGGTCAGAACTATCCGTTTAATAAATCTGTCCTGTTTATGATCCACGCAGTTGTTCAGTGTTCTAGAAATACTGATAATACCTGATAAATAATACTGATGATATATCCTCTGTGACTTCATTTCTAATGATGCTGATAACTAGATATGCATCGATACCAATACCGATACCATACTGAGTAACCTATTTAGAATTAAGTAGTTGTTAGTGTCAATGAGTTCAATGTACCTTAACATTTAAATCAATAAAGTCTGGCTTATTTTGATTGATGTGCATTAGCTAGCTATGCTACATTAGTTCCCTTGGATCCAGTGGAGTACAGCTGTACGTAAAGTAAGTTTCATAGTTTTGATCCCATACTCACAACTGAGGAGCTAACGTTTTGAGTTTCACGGCCTGTTGTAGCCTTTTGATTGTGTCATTTAAAGCCAGACATACATTGAGTGATTTTAGAAATCTTGTTCTTTGGTGACTCACAGCGTAACTACGTTTGAATATCTCATCGTGTAAGAATAAAGCCTATGATTTATATATTCACACTGTACGGAAAAATGCTCGGTCCGATCGATATGCTTCGTGAAATGCAGGCTCTACAGACATCTCTGTCTATGGGCAATTATCAATAATGCTGCTTTGTTCAAAAAAACGTTGCAGACTCGAGTACTGAGCAAATACGCTGCTACAGCAGCTTTGCTATCTTGTACCACACTGTGCACTGAAACTAAAACCAGGCGGTGATGTACACAGTAGGTGACTCTAAAGCCGATTTTACAAAGACAACTTTAAAAAAATAATTATATTAAAGTTTATACTTCGCAATTCTACTCAAAAAGAGTAAAGACAGAATGTGTAGACTTTTGTAGGATGCTGACTTTTTCGCCTCCATTTTGCTAGCCTACGTGTCTTCCCCATACTGGGGAAGTGATTAGGATTGTGTTTGTGTGTATAAACACAGGCTAAAATCACAGTGTACGTCTGGCGGGGGTATACCAAGGTGGAACGTTTAAAGTGACCACCAACTTATCTGACTAACAGCGTCAGCAACTCTTCGCTATGCGAGCAGACCCTCGTTCACTGCCAGCTTGAGTCGTTTGTTCATTAGCATGGCTGTGTACGCTCATGTTTTCAGGAGGTATCAGATGTTAACATGGGCATACTTTCTACAAAAACGAGTAAATGAGTGCGGTATTGGGCCAAAACCTGATACCAGTATCTTATCCATGCATCCCTACTGATCATATATCATTATATTGGCCCACCCCCTAGAGGACAGGCCAAAGCAGAGGAAGACAAACAGTAAAGGCGACACAGGGTTAACATAAAAACGCATCTCTCTCTGCTCCCGAGTCTGCCAGGAGTTAATTGCCCCCATTAACGTCATGCAGAGGAAACAGAGAGGAAGAGACAGAAAGCAAGAGTGAGAAAATAACGGTTTTAGGCACAGCCCAACCATTTTTATAGTGCGAAAAGACAGAGGCAAAACATCTGGAGGGACATGATAGCTCTAATGTGGAGTGTGCGCGTCACTATATCTAACGAGGGTTTAGTGTGTGGCTGTGTAAGAGAGATAATTAATGCCATGACCTCTAAAACATACGAGCTCCCTCTGTGGCTTAACATTTACCACCACTTAAAGCAACACTACAGCAGCATCTATTAAAGCTCATCTGCATCTGCTGCATCTGGAGCGAACTGCTGATTGCCATGGACAGCAATGTCAACCTGTTTCCCTGCACTTAGAAAACGCAAAACACAAAACGGTCAATTCGTCAAAAGTGTTTGTTAGTTAAAGGGAAATTCCACTGATTTTTCAAAATGTCCGCATAATTCAGTGGTTGAGATGTAGCCATTCAGAGTGGTTTGAAATGGTTGACTCAGCTTTCTTTACAGTGGTGGTGATGGGAACCAGGAGTCGCCGTAACTACAACGCAAATATAGACATTTATCCAAAACCACCAGTGAACCTACATGTCTAAGTTTTAATATGTGATGTTGATGATGGTAAATCTGAAAAAATAAGTTTTCTTTTGGGACTATTTTGCCTCACAACATCCTCCACCATAGATGGATGTAGAAATGCATGTTTTAGGCAAAACCTTCTCAAAGCTATCGTAAAACAGTGGCTGTGTTTACATGCAGAGATTTTTGCCAGTCCGATTAAATACACTTCAATTATAAATTAAGACTGAGCTGTTTATGTCTCACTCAGCTTAACAATCTGATGGAACATCTCAGTTTTCATGCTCACTACAAGTAATCCGATCCTTAATGACGCACATGCATAGAGAACCGCTTAGTGTAGACGTTACCATGACAACGCGCATCACGCGAGTCCGGAGTGAGATGAGCAGCAGTGAGCAGTGCTTGTGTTTTTATTTACTTTAAAATGATGTCAGACTCAGGAAAACGTCCTTCACATGTCCTTATTAAAGAAGGCTGAGAGGAAGACGTCGTGTTCTGAGACACATAAGCTGGACGTCCGTCTCACCGCCGTCTTTTAAAGATCAGAGCATAAACTTAGTCTCCTCTGCAGACCAGTTTCTGCTCCGCCATGTTGAACAGTATAAACTTTCACTATGATGTGACGAACATGATCAGAACGGACTTAAACTTTCCGATAGGGAATGTAATCAGATACAGGCGTTTACACGGTTATTATTCTCCTATTTAACAGATTATTTACAGGATTACCCACCTCGTTCAATCAGATAGAAAGTGAGCCGGATGGCTTTAATCGGACTAGTTTATTCTGACTGAGGTGTTTACATGGACGTATTCTATTCCGATTAAGCTATTAGTCAGATTATTAACGGATTATTAGGCCGCATGTAAATGTGGCTAATGTCTCGGGCATCAGGCAAACCATTCTAAATGACTGTTTACATCTTTTCAGTTTCATTTTGAAATTTTGAAAAATGGGTGGAATTCCCCTTTAAGCTATAAATTTGCACAGCTCATTCTTTCAGAGATGGGACTAGTTTTCCAGGGGGAGGAGTTTGTGGATTTTGTGACTGACATAGTGCGGTGGGTTTTTGTAGGCTCCGCCCAATCACCATGGATACCAGAAAATTTAGATAAAGCGACAGTAACTGAACCTTTTTACTATTTTCCTCCAGTGTTGGAAAAAAATGTTTTTTTCTCTCAGCTTGTCTCATCTTAACACCTACATTGTTGAGAGTTTTGAATCTGCTTTATATAATCAAATATTCTGAACATTTATTTACAGAACTCAGCAGCTGCTCATTGGCTTATATATATACTATTGTAAGTGAATCTTATTTTCTGTTTCTAAATACAGGGAAACAAGACAGTGACTAGGTCAAAAAACAATGAAGTACTCCTTTAAAGGGGAATTCCACCAAAATTAAAAAATTCTACAGAATTATTTTAGATCTGGTTTGACGTGAAGTGCTCTGCTCTAGAGAAACAGAGTCAGAACTGTTTAGAACTGATGTGTGGAGAGTTTAAAAGGACCCATATCCTAGATCTTTCTTTTCTTTTATTCCCTGAGGTCCAGTTGACAAACATTTTTATGCTTCAATTAATTCTGACATGCCCATTTTCCAGCCTTGCTTCATCCTTTAGAACTAAACAGGGCTGGAGCACAAAGATGATACTTTAATGGTGAGTGACCACCACTCTGACCACTCCCTCCACCAGTTAAGATGATTTTAGGACACTGGCTGTTTCAGTTACTGTGCCTTTAAGACTGATATATGCAGATGTTCTGTTCTGTATTGTGCATCATTTGAAAAGCAGTCCAGGCTGAAACACACAACTTGTGTGAGTGGGCGGAGCCAAACTGCTGTAGGCTGAATAGGTAGACATAAATATATGTAAATGTATTTTTTCATGACATCACAAGCAACTCATTTAAAACAGGTCTGAGGAGTGAACTGTCATTATAAAACAATGTTCATTTAACACATCAAACTTTTATTCCAGAAAAAAAAAGGAAAATCTGGGTTTCCATAACGCTTTTAAAAGCTACATCACAGGTCATGAATGTGCTGCCTGGTACATGGTTTATGATAGTTTTGAGGACAATTTTTAAAGCCCGTGTATAGCATTTTATGGACCAAGGCAAAGTAGTGCTTAAAGAAAATGTATATTTTCTGATTTATCACTATTTTATCAACATTGCATATATAAAATCAGAAGACACGTGTAGGTTCACTGGTGGTTTTGGATAAGACATAAAATAGGCTACATTTTGTGTTGTAGACATCATGACCCGATTCCTATCACCACCACTGTAAAGAAATCCACACCACTGAATTACACACAAATTTTGAAAAACTGGTGGAATTCCCCTTTATTATAAGAGAAGCCACAAAGAGAGTGAGAGAGCGAGATAACATAAGATCAGCGGTGCAGCGGTAGGTGGAAAATGTTTATTCCTTTATCAATTTACATCCTGATTATGGATCAACAAAAAATCAACACACCCTAGGAAGGAGAATGGATACGGATCGAGTTAAAACATTTACAACACAAGCATACACACATACAACTGTGCGCAGTGTTTACTCTCGCTCGCTCGCTCGCTCTCTCTCTCTCACAGACACACACACACACACACACACACACGCGTGCGCGCACACACAGAGCCTTTAATCGGAGTCTTTTCTGCATCTGCGGTTACATGAAGCCTGTGCAGCCTGGTTGAAAGCTGAAATCTGCTCTAGTCCTTCTGCCTGCGCGGATCCAGTCTGATAAAGTGTCCTGGTCAGTGAGTGAATCTGTCAGGAGGTCAACCTCAGTGCAATCTCTCAGTGCTGTCGTGCTCAGTTAGACTTTGACCAGATCTTCCCGCTGCCACGAAGCCTGGAACACACAAACACATACAGAGAGTGAGCTTAACAACATAACGCACAGCGAGCTCTGCAGTCTATTAGGAACTCCTGTAGATGTAGCCCATCTGTATGCAGCACAGCTCATCAGCTGCCCTCTACCTCGTCCACTCTAGGCCACCTTTGTTCTGATATTATTGTGGGCTCGCTGTGTGTACTGGTGGACTATAGTTCATCTCTTTTAGCACATAAGACAAATTGTGCATAATAATGATAATAATAATAGTAATAATAATCATAAGGAGAAGAATGTTAACGTTACTGTTAATGTTATCTTAATGTTAGTTACTATTAATGCTAATGTTATTCAAAAAATATTCTAAAAAGAACATCTGACCAAAATGTAACACTGCCCTCTGGGTACACAGATCCAGTATCTCACGGTTCTTAAATATGAGAATGTATAGAGGCTAAACTGCTTATAAAACATTCTTATTTAATATTTGTTTTGTTTTAAACTCATCAACATTTTAAAAATTGGACTCGTCTAATTCTTCAGCTGAAAGAGCTTTATAATAATGTTAAAAAAAAACCAAAACGATAAAATAAGTAAAAATAAATGTAAACAAAACATAACATGATAATATGATTGCAGAATTTTAAGTTAAAGCTTAATTAAAATGATGCCTCGCTATAAGTGTAGGGGGGATTGAGGCATCCTGCCCAGCCTCCTTAACCTCATGAAGTTGTAGTTGTTAGAAATTCGGCACCAAGAGTCAGGAGACTGGAGCTTCGGCGTTGAGAGTATGGGCACAGCGTGGTCGATCAGCAGTCAATCAGCAGGATCAGAAGTCTAGTCTTATTCACGTGCATGCAGACAATAAGGCCCGGGCACAGCTTGGTTATCAGTGTGTCACCAGTCTGGTCTGGTCACCAGTCTAGTCTAGTCCAGTCTGCAGTCCAGTCTAACAAGAATATTTTGGAAGGACCTTATATACTTTGAAAAACTAAAGAGGGGGAAGGAACAAAAGGACTTTTAGGAGGGGTAAGGAGGGGTTGTAGACGGGGGGTATGAATAGAGATGTAGGGGGCAGAGATAAGGGGGGGGTGATAGTATCACCTTAAGGTCGTGAGACGAAGGGTCATTTAAATAGAAACAAAGGAGGGAGGGGGCAAGGTGAGAGAGTGTGACAGTTATCACTACTTCTGCCATTTGCTCTCTACAGTGAAAATGGTTTAGACCTTAAGAAAATAACATAGTCAGTACAGTAAATGGGTTCTAGTTGATTTTCTACGCAAAATTAAGTTAACACACACTCTACAGAGATATACTCTACTCATTTTAGTGCACAATTTCTATTTATTTGCCGAGTTTAACATATTGAAAAAATAGTAAATAACACAAAATGTGCCATCACTTTTCCATATATTTATCTTCTGCCCTAATATGTGAAATTCAGCAAATAAACAGTGACATGTACTTTAAAATGTGAAGAAGTTTGTTCTCTGTAGAGGATGTGTACATTTTTCACATCATCTGACCAGGGGTGCACAAACTTTTGTATATGACTGTATTTAATGGGAGGTTAACCATGAAGCTAACTAATACTAAGGCTAATCTTAAGGCTAGCTAGTTGTAGCCCATAGCCCATGAAAACGCCATAGCTTGATAAAGCACAGTCCCTGTTATGTAGTCTAAATTATTATTTTTTTTTTTAAATGTAAAATTTGGGTGGCATCAACAAGGATTAAGCCTAAACTAGGATTAAATCAAGGTTTATCTATTCATACAGTTGCACAGAACTCCAAACCTTGTTTAAAAACAACCACAGTTACATTTAAGCAGTCAATTTCCTGGATTACTTTTAGAGTAAATCTAGATCAAACTGAATCCTGTTGCACCATTACTTTAAACTCAGATTTAAACTTAAACTGCATTAAAACCGGCATGTCTCTGCGATGGATATCACCTCAAGGGCTCTGGAAAACTTTGACAACCTGTTTTCGCTGCTTCCACAAATGCGAGTTAAGAAGGTACTATGCACAGTGGAGGCCATGTGTCAACAACATCCCGAAACACTGCCGACTTCTCTGGGCTCGAGATCATGTGAAATGTACTAATGCATAATGGAAACATGTTTTGTACTGGACATTCCCTGGACATCTGACTTTATCCTTGACTTCACATGAAATAAACATTCACAAATGATCAAACCTACATTTTCTCACTCCTTAAACACAGAAAATGAACTACAACCAATGTTTAAACATAATGTTTCAGAAAGGCATATCACAGACGATTTAGTCATTAAGAGACCATCTGAAAAGTGCAAATCATATTCCTGATGTCTTTAGCTAAAATAAGGCAAAATCACATCAAATGACGAAGTTTAGAGTGACTTCCTTTAAACTGACTGAGTGATTTGATGCAATTTCCCTACTTTTAGCTAAAAGCATCAGGAAACAAAACTTAGAAATATGTCCTAACAGTTGGTGATCTGCATTTCCAAAACATCAGTTCAGCGAAACTTGACCACAGACATTTTTAAATATATTTGGTTGTAGAAATCGAGAAGAGAAAGCAAAATAACCATCAAAGGTCAATTTTTGGTTTTGTTTTTACTAAAGTGGAAATATACTAGCAGTTAGCTGCAAAACAGTTGCTAGCAAATAATGCTCAGTAAATACCAGATTAAAAAAAAAAAAAATGCTTTTTTTTGTGATAACTAGAATTCTCAACCAATCAGATTGTGCTAATGAAACCAACTGTTGTATTTTAATAGCAATAATGTTTTAGTACTTATATATTTTGGGGATTTATGTCTTTGAAAAAACTTCCCGGAAGGCCTTTAAAAACAGTTCTAATGAGCATTGTCTATGGAAGTATGAATGGATAGCACTGCAAGCTATGAACACATTAATACAGCTATATTATCATCAAATAAAGCATAAACACACACTCATATATACATATGGTGAAACTGAAACTTGTTTGCAGAGAATGCATTTTCAAATGTACTTAATAACAATATATTGTGTGTCAAATATCACTGGATACCTTATTATTAAATATTATCACAGGTCTAGGTGAGCGTTTCTGAAAAATGTATAGGTACAAGTTTAGGGGTATATCAATGGGCAACTCTGGCAAATTTAATTGAGAAACTGAGCCTTTTTCCCCCATTAACGGTGGATAATAAAGCTAATAATTTACATTAAATTATGTTAACAAGTTTATCAAATGAAAAACAGATGCTGCACTATAACTGACACTTCAATGACACCCCAGCGCAGAGAAAACAGGAGAAAAAACAAAAACCTCCACTGATCTGCTGATCAAACTCGTCTCCCCACAAAGAACCTCCAGCTGTTTTGGTTTCATGAGGTTTCAGAAGCAGGACAGGGACAATTAGCAGCTTGTTGGGGCTTAATTAGAAGTGTTGGTCTGTCAGTAATCCTCTACAGGAACGTGTAACTAGGGCAAAATGGAACAACAGAAAACACACACTTAACACTAATGAAACTAATGGCTGCAGAGACTGCAGCGCCGTTCGGGCTCCCTCGCTCCCCATTCCTGTCCCAAATGCTTCATTTACATGGCCATCAGAGCAGGCGCACCTTTAAATCTCACTATTGAGATTTGCTCAGTTAGGACTTGATGAAATTTTGTTATCGTCAGCTTAGGATTCAATTTAACTCAATTTAGTTTTATTTTTATTAGGGTTTTTATGACAAACATCATCCCAAAGCAGCTTTTTCAATTGGTCCAGTGCATGTGGCACAAGTATCCCCCCCTTCAGTCTCTTTGCCAGTGCCTAGCCACTATATACAATGAAGTCATATTTCAAATAAATTCTCTTATTCGTGCAGGCTACTCTCACATTTGCTTCAGAAAACAGGCCTCTTTAATCAGATATTTCTCTGAAATGTGATAAACTAATGTGTAGTTACATTATTCCCAATTTATTTATTTTCCCGTCTACAGCATGACACGCATTCCCGCTCAGGCTTTTTTTGATGAATCAAACTGTTCCTGCCTGTAAATGCAGATATTAAAATCTAGTAACGTAGGTCTACCTTTGTTGGGTAAGGAAAACAGAAAGCTGCCTTAGCCCGAGTGGTCAGCGCTACACGCCTGCCATTCATAATTAGCATCAAGTTGAAACCAACTCAACTTTTTTGCTCTGCCGCAAGTCAAGTTCTCGCCGCTCTCTAACCCATAAATCCCTTGCGCAATTTTCACTGCTCCCTGTTAAAAATGAACGTGAGCAGACTTTCAGAATACGAGTCTGCATGCAATGCAGTGGGTTTAAGAGCATGAGGAAACAACACTGACGAGAACCAAGATTTCACAGAGATCCTAAGAAGCACGAAGAAGAGCCACTGAGAAGAACCAAGACGCAAAAGGGAAAAACACCCCAAGGGAATGAGGAGCCCTGAAAGAAACCAAGACTCAAAAAAGAAAACTTCCTAAGAGTATGAGGAAGACAAACTGAGAGGAATCACAACTCCAAAGGCATCCCCAAGAGCATGAAGAACGCTGACGAGAACCAAGACTCAAAAGAAACTTCCAAGAGCGTTAGGAAGACCTACCAAGACTCAAATGGAGTAACTCTCTAAGAACATGGGTAAGACACACTGAGAAGAGTGAAGACTCAAAGGAAAACTCCCCAAGAGCATGAAGAACCACTGAGAGGAACCAAGACTCCAAAGAGATTCCTATGAGCATGAGGAAGAACCAAAAGGAGCAAAAGGAAAACTTCCCAAAAAAGTGAGGAACCCTGAGAGGAACCAAGACTCAAAAAGAGAACCCATCCTCCTGTGGACTGCTCCGGCTGTTGAAAAGCTCCGATGGCATGACTATTCTGGTATCGGCAGCAATCTTAGGTTGTTTTTCCACTTTACCAAGTGCTGGAACCTCTGGGACCAGTGGTCCAGTACTGAAGGTTCCAGTTTTAGGTTTTGTACCCGTTCAAGACTGTTACGAATGGTACTCAAACAATTTAGCGAATTCATTACTCTTCCAGGTGTGGATAAAGTCACCAAGCACTATTACACCAGCAATACATCACCAATACGTGCACCAGAACATGAGCTGGAATAGTATGTTGTTGTTTGGATTGCTTTTGAATATGCAATGAGTTCGCTGAGGTGACAAGCTAGTTAGACAGGTAGCACTAACGTTATCAGCACTTATGCTGGGCTGCACAGCACGAGAGTTTTTGCTCAAATTTTCACACTTAAGCTTAAAACATAAGCTTAGTTTGATTCTAATCATGATTTAGTGTAATTGTAGGCATTTATGTGAACACAAAAAAGTGCATTGTATTATTTAATCACAGTTATTTTGATGGCTCCAGCTGTCTCTCAAGCTTGAGGCCTAAGTCATGTTGGTCACCGTTTGGGTCAGCTTTTGTTTTTAAATGTTCCCTTAGAGGCTTAAGCTCTTGCACCTGTATGCTAATACAAATATTATACTATCAGGAATATAAACAACAGTTCCTGGGTGTTTTGATCAAACAAAAGAGGTACTCATGCAATCAAACAGAGGTCAATTATTTCTGCAGGTCAATTTTTAACCATATCATTAATGACTGTGTATGCATTATGTAGAAATACAATCTCAATACAACCATTTTGTCCATATAATGCAGCCCTACATCATACACAGAAATGCAACTCAAAGTGCTTCATGAAAGTGTGCAAACAGAAAAACCATAAATTAAAGAACACTGAAAAAGAACAAAGGCATAATCTACTTGAAAGGGAGAGGAAACAGGCAGCCGGTGCAATGATGCAAGAACAGGTGTAATGTTTTTCCATCATGTCAAACCTTCGGGCTTGGCACTTACCCTTTGACTTTGGAGCTCTTTTTCCCTGGTTGCCGTGGTTCCTGAGAGGATGCAGGGTCTCGTGGCTCTGCGGGTTGATCTACATCTTGATTGGATGCCGCTCCACCCGGAGCGGGGCCGGAGGATGGTGACGCGGAGCTTGCTTTCAGGGTTTTCTGTAGGTTTGACACCTAGTCAAGTAACAAGACAAGAGAACTTAAGTCATATTAGGTTTTATAATTGGAATTACTAATCACAAACACACAATACTAAAACAAAAACAAGGAATAACAAACAGGGCTGCACAATGTGGTCAAAAAACTAGCACTGTGATGGTACAGCTACACTATATGGCCAAAAGTATGTGGACACCCCTCCCAATTATGCAATGGGATTCCATGGCCAGACAGCTGTACGCAAGCCCAAGATCAACATGCACAATGCCAAGCGTTGGCTAGATTGGGGTAAAGCGCGCCACCACTGGACTCTGGCACAGTGGAGTGATGAATGTTCTCTGGAATGATGAATCATGCTTTACTATCTGGCAGTCTGAGTATGGGTACGGTGGATGCCAGAACAGTAACTACTGGAATGCACAATGCCAGCAGTAAAGTTTGGTGGAGGAGGGATAATGGGCTGGGGCTGTTTTTCAAGGTTTGGGCCTCTTAGTTCAAGTGAAGGGCGATGTTAATGCTACAGCATACAAAGACATTTTAGATAATAATATAATATTCCACCAATAGCTTAGGGAAGGCCCTTTTCACTGAGACCCTGTGCACAAAGTGAGCTCCATGAAAACATGGTTTGATGAATTTGGTGTGGAGGAAATCTACTGGACCGCACAGAACCTTGACCTCAACCCCAATGAACACCTTTGGGATGAACTGGGACGCTGACTGCAAGTCAGGCCTTCCTGTCCAACATCACTGCCTGACCACACAAATGCTCTTTTGACTGTATGGGCACAAACTCCTACATACTCTAAAATATCGGGGAAATGTTTTGCAGTGTTCGGTAGTTTGGGCTGGCCAGGGGTGCGGGGAGCAAGTGCATTTTAATGACCATAGATTTGTAACAGGATATCCAACAAGCTCATAGGTGTAATGGTGAGGTGTCCACAAACTTTTGGCCATATCTTGTACGTGGTCACTCACTGATGTGGTTAAAATTGGCCTTCATTATTTTGACCAAAATAATTCTGTAATCAGAACTGTGATTGATCAGGATGATCACAGCACACAGTAAACAACACTGCGAATGAACCGAGGGCTCATCTGCATTTTGCATAGGAGTATTGCAAATGCCAATATCATCATAATGATTATCAAACAATATACTGCCCAGCTCTAATAATAAGTCATGTTCAATTTAAAGTAAGCTGCCTCCAGAAAAACAAACATTACCAATCTGGTCTGGTCTTCATGGAAGCAAGTAATAATTCACATACTACACAATCCAAGCTAACACTGGCTCTATCAGTGGATGTCCAGATCTTGGCGGCAAAAAAATTAATTTGCAAAAGAAACTGCGCCACAATGTCCCAAATGTTCCAGAGCGGGTGGAGTTGTGAGAAGAACTTCCCGAGCTGTTAGATGGAAATAAGCAGTGCAGCTGCTTCCATTTGTGTTTTCACAGTGCTGCAGCGTCTTTTTGACAACGTTATTGTAGGGTTTGGAGAACCAAACCTACATGCTATAAATACTAGCCTTTTAAACAATGTAGCCACATCTCTACATGGCATGTAATTAGCTGAGGGAAATAAAACATGTCCATGAAATCTAAATTAGTCTGTCAAGAGAAAGGGGGAGAGCCAAATTGAACAGTAAAAAACTATTTTCACTGTTGCTTTAAGAAAAACTTATCTGATGAACACTCTTTCGCCGTTAGCAATGAGCTTCCACCCAGAAGCTCTGGAAAGTGGCGTCTCACAAAATCAGATGCTGCATATCACAAACCACAATGATTTTCTATGGAAGGCTAAAGAGAAGACTACAAATGTGATTCTCCTAGCGCTGCTATCCTCTTAACTGGATAAACAACACTGAGAGTAGCCTAAAGCTCTGTCTTTATGCTGTTTTGACTTTGATGAGTCTGAGCCAAACACAAAGTCATGTGGAAGTTGGCGTGCTAAGCCCCAGATTCTGCCTCCATGGTCTCAGGGCTGCTGCACAAATTTTAAACATTTTTAATGCCTTTTTAAGACTTCAACTAAGGAAAAATAAAAACTTCTACTTCTAACCAACACACAAACTCAAATACAGCAAGTTTTAATGTCTGTCGTTTTATTCAAATAGTCTGAACATGAAATATTCATATATGTTTCAAGATACAGTATATACATGTCATAGCTGGGTAGCCCATTAAAGGAGGAGTTCATTTAAAATCAGTCCTAATACATAGTGATTCAAAAAGATTCACCCTGATTTCAAAGTGCCATATTTTTACAACCGTGAGGCGCCTAGGAACCAATCACATACCAATTGTAAGAGGGGGTCATAGAGTTTCTGATTGTCAGTGGAAGATGGCAACGCATTGAAAGAGCTGTAAGCGCAGTGACCCCCGACATGCTCATTCGAGTACGGGATGAATTTGACATCGCATTGATGTTGTCCGTACAGCTGGAGGAGGTCATCAAAAAGATTCATCCGATTTCAAAATGATTTATTTAACTTGTAAATCGTTTTGAAATCAGATGAATCTTTTTGAATCACTCTGAACCTGTTAGATGTGTTTTGGATGTTTTGTAGATGCAGTTTTACATATATTAAGAAATGCAGTTTCAGGATTGTTTTATTTTTTTCTCCAGAAGTGACTGGTTTGCAAAATAAGCACAATCAGATGGATTTATCCCTTTGTGTGCTAATTGATTTGTCAACATCAATTTCTTCTAAACTGTTTTTTAGAAACGCATGCTGTTAAAAAGACAGCATTAGACAGACTTTTCCATGCAAAGGTCAGTGTCTTCCTGTTATGATTCGGCTCATTCTTTCCTTGGTAGTTTTAAGGTGCACCAGCCGGGACGGTTTCTGATTGGTATCAAAGTAAACTGCGTCAGCGAAACGCCAACAGCTGGCTTGTTTGTTTTCGGTAACAGTAGCCGGTTAGCTCATGAAGTAATTAGCAATATGAGGTGCTTTGATGTTGGATGTGGAAATGCTCCATTCAGAGTACAAATCGCTCTTTCTATAATGGAGCATTTCCACAACCAACATCAATGCACCTCATATTGCTAATTCCTGAAAGAGCTAACAAGCTACTGCTACCAAAAACAAACAAGCCAACTGTGGGCGTTTCGCTGACGCAGTTTACCTGGAAACCAATCAGAAACTGTCCCAGCTGGTGTACCCTCAATCAACCAAATTATGCCTACATGCAATACGGCACCCTGCCTATGGTGCTGATGCCAGTACTGCGGTAACACGAAAAAAATGAGCAAGAGTCTGCTGTGGTCACTTTGTGGCAGGGGAACCGTCTGAAAGCAGAAGTTGTACTCACTGTGTTCCCTTTTTTGGAGTTTTTGAAAGCAGACTTGTTCCTGAGTAACATTATGCAAATATCTGGCCTTCATACTCTTCGGCAGCCAAAAAGTCTGTATGAATATTGAACACTTAGCATCTTAATGAGCAGCAACGCAGGCAGGATCACACGCTCGGAAAGTACTCCTGGCACAGCGGATGAATGCATTCGTGTGATTGAAGGGTGCAAAAAAACAGACACTTTATTATTTATTAGCCTCCTGCAATGTCTTTTCTGAAAAAGTGTGTTCACAAAGCCATTCCGAGGTACATTTTTGTCAGCATCAGCCGAAGAGTGTGCGCGATGTGTGTAATATGTATTTTGCCATTGAATAAAGTGCAATTATTTAAGAAATTGATATGAGAATCATCCTAGGTGCCTAGAAATCACCCAGTAAGTACCCAGAGTACTTCTAATCCAATAAGTACTTAATCCATGCCTCCAGGTTGGGCTACTGCAAGGGTCTGCTTACTGGACTCCCCAAAAAGACCATGAGACAACTACAGTTTATTCACAACGCAGCGCGACAATACTAACCAAGACAAAGAGAACTGAGAACAATACCGCAGTATAAAGATCCCTACGCTGGCTGCCAGCTCCAGAATTGATTGCTACTTCTCTATATTCACTCAGTGGCTCAGGACCAAAACACATCTCTGACCTACTGGAGGAATACCTAACAGGCCTCTCAGATCACTCTGTACTGGTCAGCTAGAAGCGCCTAGATTTTGAACAAAGCATGGCGAGGCATTAGCTTTTATGCTGTGCAAAGCTAGAACCAGCTGCCAGAAGATCTTAGATATATCCAAATTTTAGCCATCTTTAGGACCAGACTAAAGACATGCTTCAACACTTTCTGCCTAGACTTTGCGTCTCTTTTTAATTATTAATCTAATTTTATTTCCTTGTTTATTTACTAATTCATTTATTCATAGAACTTCGAACTGCCTTTGTGTGGGAGATGTGCTATGTAAATAACTTTGCCATTACCTTGCCTTAACTGAACTCTGCCATCCTCTCACCCTTCATCAATGGTCAGTTTCTGACCACAGGACCACTGTTGGATAATTATTTTCAGCTGGCGGATCGTTCTGACGTAGGTTAATATAATTTACATATAGACTTTTCAACTCGGTTGTTAGGCACCATCTTAGAATTTAGTACCTACACCGTTAAAAATAAAAGTACAATGCAGGTACATTTTTCATTCATCAAGGTACAAACAATGTAACTGTTCCCTCAAAGGTGCAACAGTGGTTTTATGGTTCAATTGTGTACCTTAAATAAGTTTTTCCTCTTGAAAAAGTACATATTTGTACATTTTCAAAATAAAAGCCTGGAGACGAGACGGGGTGTGTGGAGTCAGTACAGTTTAGAAAATATAATTTGAGTGGATTATGGTACAGTTATGTTCCCTGACTAAAGGTACTGAGATGTACCCCTGAAGGTACCCCCCCCAGTGACTAGAGAGGTACTGCCCCAGTGACAGTTCCATAACTTTTTTTCTGAGAGTGTATAATATTGAAAAAAAGACATTTTATAAGCTTAGATCAATTTTATAGGGCCCATATTGTGGAAAACATAATTTTCTTCATTTCTTTTTAAATATAAGACTTTGATGTACAATATAAATAGCAAATGTTTCAAAAACATACCATTTACTCTCCAGTCCAGTATGGTCCATATACATAAACTGTTTTGAATGTATTTTTTTCATTATGTCACGAAAGCCAACACATCTACATACATCCACCAGCCTAGAGCAGTTTAACTCATCCATGCTTATTATAAAGTGAAGCTATAAGGAGTGTTTTTGAATGAGGCACTATACAGGACACCTGATCAGAACAGAGCTCATTTACATATATCTGTCTAAAAGGTATATTAACAAAAACAGCCTGCTTAATTCTAAAGAATAGAGTGGGTTTGGAAAATGGTCATGTAAAAAATTCATGATGGCTGTTTTTGGTATATAAACCCACAATACCTTCATAATTATAAAAATAAAATAAAAAATAAAAAGCAACAAAAATGTAAAATGAGGGCCCTTTAAGGCTTTAGGGATCTGAAAGGAAACCTCTATTTATCAATTATTTTTCAGGCCAGGTAAACCCAAACGACCATATGATACAATAACAAATACTGTCCACTGTTCTACAAACGCACTGACCTCTGTCTCCACCTGAACTTTGACCTTCAGTTGGCTCTCTCTGTACTGATTAGCTCTGGACACCTGCTCCTCAATTCCACACAGCACCGCCTCACAGCCTGCACACCTGACAGAGGAAGAGACAACAAACTGCATCAAAAACACACACTGGCAGATTGCAGTCATCACTGCAATCAGCTTTCATTTCATCTTTACAGGCCTTCATCGTTTCAGGTTATTTACATGGACAGAAACACACAGACATTCAAAGGTCTGAAATCAGTGTTTTCAATAATACAACCCAAATCTGTTGCAGATACATGTAAACAAACATGAGATAAAGCCTTTTAAAATGACGCTGAAGCCCAACTTTGGTGTTTACTGTTGTTATTTGTGTAAAGTATAATAAACAGAGCTGCAAATGATTGTCAAAAGACGGACAAAGATGTATAACAAAGATGAAGTACAATTAATATTCATTTTGAAGTTGTAATAAAATAAAAAAAAATCTAATAAAATCAATATCCACAATAAAGTTCTAATAAAATTAATATCCAAAACAAGTTTCTACAACTCATAAGAATGAAGTTCTAAAATTACAATCCAAAATGAAATAATAATATATATGCAGAATAAAGTTCATAAAATTACCATCCAGAATAAATTTAATATAATTCATATTCAGAAGTTCTGATAAAATTAATAGCAGAATGAAGTTAAATACTCTCCGAAAGAATGTACAATAAAAAAAATCAAGAATTAAAGGTATAACAAAATCAATAACCAGAATAAATTTCATAGTTTATATCCAGAATGAAATTGTTAAATATCTAAAAAGAAATTATAATACTATTTATTATACTGTTTATTTATAATACTAAATTATAATACTAAATATTATACTATTTATTTATAAAAAAAAGTTAAAATAAAATTGATATCCAGAATGAAGTTACAATACAATCATCCAGAGCTTCTTATATGCCAGAAGTGAAGGTTAAATCAGACAAATTGACAATAAACGACTACAAACACACAATTACAGGTCATTCTTAACCATATTAACTTCAGGCTGTTCCCTATAATATTGAATTACTTCAATATTATAACCAAGTATCATTACTTGGTTATAATTTTAACTAGATGGATCAATTCAAAATAAAAAAAAAAGAATCATATTCTTAAGGAAGATGTTCATTTCATAAGATATATTTTACTTTTTTATCTTCACGTTCAAAAAAATCAAACCTAATTAGAGCAGCATACTAAATCTGCCCAGTGTTTACAGTTTTTTTTGACTTGCAGTGTTAAGAAAAATGTATGTGTCTCAATATCTAAAACTGTGGTTGAGACTGTAACCCTAGTCTCCAGCAGGGATTCCCAGTCCCAGCGACCTCACGCTCTGCACGTTTGTGTTTTAGTTAATAAGTCTAATCAGGTGTGCTCGATGAGACAATAATCAGAATAGTGTGGGGTCTCTAGGACTCAGACTGGGGACCCCTGGCTTATAACATTTCAATCTATACTGTATAAACCGCTATTCAAAAAAATAACAAAAAATTCATATGAGGAATTTTTGGACAGTAGTGTATTTACACATCCACACAGACACACTCACCACTCCTGCAGTGTGTTGGCTATGTTGGGCAGCTCGTTGGGGCCCAGGTCACGGCCCACGCTGAAGTCCACCTCCACCTGCTGGTTCCGCTGGTCCAGCTTGCCATGGATGATGTCGCAGTAAATGGCCTCGATGAGCAAATCCTCCAGCTCCCGCACATTCTTCAGCTCCAACTGCTGCAGCAGCAGGGAGTACGGCAGACACTGCGGCAGAGGAAGATCAAACTACTTTTCAAGAGCTGGCTTTGTTTGATACTGACTAAAGATAACCGGAAAAGGAGAAATAAAGTTGCAGCTCCCTTTCATCATGCTAGTGTCTGGTTTCCTCAGCAAAAAGCAGAGAAAAGCACCAACTAAGGTGGGGTGCAGACCTACACCATGTGGTGGTTGTGTTGGACACATTTTGAACTGCCGGAACTGTAGTACAATACAACTGTACTCAGTGCCAGCGCTGCTGTGTGGAGAATGCCCTAGTGACGTCACATTTTTTGGGAAAACACTGTGTTTCGGTCGTTTGCTGTCACTTGATCATTTAGATCATCGACAGTGTTAAATATACCTAAATACGGTGGTGACATGGCAAGTTATGCTGTACCACCTGTAATCTATAGCACCTCCAGTACATTAAAAATATGGTTTGAATGAAAACAGCAGGGGGCGATATGACCACTTTCTGTGCCTACGAGCACAGAAACGGTATTTGAGATTCGACACTTATGATACATGGACCACTCTACCAACTCAGTTCAAACTGCTTTCCAAAAACAAAAAACAAGACATTAAAAGAGATAACAAATAATAAGTAATAAACTAAATATATACAAAAATCATCATTTATAAGGTACTTTCTATTGAGAATTTATTAGTACGTTTTTGATTCTTTTAAAGTGAAGTTGAAAGATTTAGATTCATAATGAGTTTAATTTTTAAATGTTTATCCAAAAAGACTTTATCTAAAAAAATGCTGTCCTATGTTTTCATGTCATTACCGAAACACCAAGCCTTATTTTGGCCACACTCCTTGCATCCCCACCCTCATGGCCACATGGTGAGCAGCTAGATCCCACTGCTTTGAAGTAAATGTGTCCCAAAGTCTGGAAATCAGTGTGTTACTTTAAGAATTGTCACACATTTTTTCTGCAAACCTTTTTGTTTCATAATGAAAAAATGTATGATTTTCTGTGTCTAAAACTGTTCGAAGCTGTGTTTGGTTGTCATCTGCGTTGGCTGGCATTTCTGAGTTCTGCTCAAAATTAGCTAAAATTGTCACCACTAATATCGAGAGGAAATCAGCAGAAAATCTTGGCTGAGATATCGCAGGGAAAAAAATGAATCTGACTAATCCATCCTGAAATAGCACTCGCTCAAACAGTGTGATGTGTAGTTAGCTGTGTAGTTCAGCACCACAGTCTACTTTTAGATGCTCATCTTAACAGAAGTGCTTCAACAGCTCATTTTAAGTGACTTACTAGTTTTCAAAGAAAAAAATATCAGCTCCAGATTGGTATGATAAGGAAGCCCTAAATGACCATGGATTCATATTTTTTGTCTTTTTTTTACCCCGTTTTTTCATGATAAATGCATAATTTTCATTTGCTGTCTCAAGATCTTGTGCTATTCACATCATCATAGCAAAACGAACGTTGTTTTCTTGAGATATTGAGTTCTTTATATCATCAAAATGACAGTTTTATCGAGAACATTTGTTAATAATGAGAACATGCTGTGACAATGGCATAAACATCCCAAGATCTCAAGAAAACATTTGTAATGTTATGATAATAATACAAATAACTCGAGATCTTGAGAAAGCAAATTAAAATAACTCTGAATATCACTGACAAATGAGAGTAAAAACATGCAAAATCCATGTCCCTTTAAGGCTTCTGTAGTAACAATATTCAAGGTTCCAAAAATTACTATAATTATTTTAGAATAATTATAATAATTTGTTACCCCTTAGACCCCACCAGAATTGTAGGACACACTTGTGGATTCCTGAAATTTTCCAAGTACTGAGCTTATTTATTACTGTTTTAAACAAAACATTTCATGAAGAAAACAGGAGGAAATGGCAGTTACAGTAGCACGATTGTCAGTCGTTCCTGCAGTTTAGCAATTTTCGCCAAAAGAAAATGACAAGATCTAAACAGCTTTCTGTTTAAAATGTTAAGTTAATGAAAAAACAAAATCATTTGTCAAAAAAATATTTGAGAAAATGGCAAATAACGTTCATAAAAAGAGAAAATCCTTAGCTACAGTTTTGATGGTTAAGCTGATATAAAGCGATAGCAGGCTAGCTAATCGATTTAGCTGGTTCCTATAAGACATGAACGGCTGTAAATCTGTAGGCAAGCAGTATCAAACGTTACAATAAATCCTGATCAGGACTGAGCTATGTTCGCCTGTCTGTTGTTTTTCTTGCAATGGAATCTGAACCTGGAGCACTAAGTTAGCAAAAGAACGTAACTATCAATTCAGCAAATATCACTAAACATAGATTTCAAAATATCAACATTTTGAACTTTGTACTTTAATATGGATCTTATCCAGGTAAGCAGAAACTCATCTGTCTCCTTTCTAACATAACGATGCAGATTGTACTAAAAATGCTGAAAGACATTCATAAAAATAAAGGTATAAATATGTAAAACAAATCAAAAACTGGAACAGACTGATTAACAAATGAACCACACAAAACAAACAAATGAAAATACCTTAAGGAAGGTTAATGACTCAACATAAATATTACTGTTTTTATGGTAGATTTTGAGAAAGAAGATTCGAGTACTCGTTCAGAAACACCAAGGAAAATCCAAAGCCTGCAAAATAAACATTTTTCTTTCTTTTTTTTGACAAATGAGCTTGTTTGCTCATTAACTTAACATTTTAAACAGAAAGCTGTTTAGATCTTGTCATTTTTCTTTGGCGAAAATTGCTGAACTGCAGGAACGACTGACAAACGTGCTACCTTGGGAATGAAGCCCACACATTTTATCCTCTTGTTGTGATGTCAGCAAAATCCGCTCTTCATACCGAGGAAGACACTTTGATGAACATGAAGTGCTGAAACTTAAAAACACCCAAAGGATGAGCGAAATAGATGGAAATTCTTTCCAGCTATTTTTTTTTCTACCTTAATTAAAATGTGGGTGCTTGAAAAACGTCCAAACAGAGGAACGTGTCTCCAAACTTTTGGCAAGCAGTGTAATTATCATGACATGCTAACAGGACTGGGAAAAAGTACCTTAAGGTTGGAGGCCAGACTGATGATAGACAGGTGGCGGAGCTTATTCTTCTGGGACGGCGTGAGCTCAGGGAGAGAGGCCGCTCTCTCTGAAGAGCAGAGACAAAAAAAAACCAAAAAAAAACAAAACAAAAACAATACATCAGAAACAGACAGACTGACCGGCTAGCACATCGAGAGGAATGCTGGACAGTGTTGTATGTGTGAAAATGCTCTACAGAACCTGACTGAGCAAAACTGATGAAGCTACCACCCTGGGGTGTAATATCTGTTCAACCTGTGTTGTCATGGTTACCTTTGTAGTCGGAGTAGGTTCCGTAAGCGAAGAGATTGAGGAGCTGATAGACGGGAGCATGAGGGCCTGTCTCCAACTGGAGAGAGAACAAAAGAGAGAGAGACACGTTTAACAAAGTGACTTCCTTGGTATGAAGAGCAGGATTTAAATATTGAACCTATTTTGGCTGAAAGGTTGTTTAAAGGGCTCATATCACAGAAAATGAAATTTCAATTCCAGAAGAGTTGACGGTATATGAACTGCTAATAGAAACAGAAAGCTGTTTCGATCTGTTTGCACTAAACTGAAAACAGCATAGAAAGAATTTGTTTTACCTTATGAACTTCATCTTATCTTATAAATATACACTCATTGCAAATATGATGCCTGCAACACATTCCAAAAAAGTTGGGACAGGAGCATGTTTACCGCTGTGTTACATCACTTTTCCTTTTCACAGCACTTAATAACTGTTTACAAAGGGAGACAGTTCTGGACTGCGGACAGTTCTGGACTGTTGCAAAACAAGCAGAATGTTTCTTGGTGTTGTCATGTTAAAATAAACATTAACGTCCCTGAAAAAGACGCCGTCTAAAAGGCAGCACATTGCTGCTGTCGGAACAACACCTTGCATCTCCATTTTTGTCGTTTTTCAGTTTTTTAAATAATTTGAAAGTGCCTGTTGTCCTTTACATTGTGTGTGAATTTTGTGATTCAAAAAAATGACTCAGGAAAACGTCCTTCACATGTCCTTATTAAAGAAGGCCGAGAGGAAGACGTCGTGTTCTGAGACACATAAGCTGGACGTCCGTCCCACCGCCGTCTTTTAAAGATCAGAGCATAAACTTTGTCTCCTCTGCAGACCAGTTTCTGCTCCGCCATGTTGAACGGTATAAACTTTCACTATGACGTGACGAACATGATCAGAACGGACTTAAACTTTCCGATAGGTAATGTAATCAGATACAGGTGTTTACACGGTTATTATTCTTCTATTTAACTGATTATTTACAGGATTACTCACCTTGTTCAATCAGATAGAAATTGTATTCCGAATGGACTCAATCGGACTAGTCTATTCTGATTGAGCTGTATACATGGACGTATTCTATTCCGATTGAGCTATTAGTCGGATTATTAGCGAATTATTAGGCTGCATGTAAACGTGGCTATTGAACATGAATGACATCTAGCTGCTTTGCAGCTTTGGAAAAATGGTCATTTTAAAATTAATTATGACTGGTTTTGGTACATAAACACAGAGGAAAAAAATAAAACTACTTAGAAAAACTTGGGCCCTTTAAAAACTTAGTTGCTGTTGAGCGCTGACATCACCATGAGAGGATAAATTGGATTGGCTCTGGCTTTTATCAGTTGCTCTGTCAGCTCTGCAGATTCTGCAAAGAAAAATGGCTGAAGATCTAAACAGATTTCTATCTAATATGTTAAATGACTTCAACCACACAAAGAAAACCTGCTCATTTATTAAAAACACTTTAAAAAGCTACACTTTGAAAAAACCCAAACTTCTGACAGGCAGTGTCTATTAAAAGATTAGTGGTGTCAAAGTTAGCATGATAAACGATTAACACCACTCATTTTTAATTTTCCCAGTTTGACTATGAAAATGAAAAGGTTTATTAAGACAGCAGCATTAAAGCAAACAGGGCAGCTTTTAGATGCAGATGAATTCTACATGAGCCATCAATGAATACCTCTATGTTGCATTGTTATTTATATGCCATATCTACTGTCTGATGTATGGAACTAGTTCTATGCATTAAAAGAGACAACAAAAATCATAAAGATACCAAAGAAACTATGCACGCCAGTTACAGATGTAACAAACAATACAGTAATTGCAAAATTGTACACCATCTAATGCACTTTCAGTCTGTTCTGAAAGCTACAAGAACATCCAGAACTGTACACTGTGTTTCAAACAGTGCTAGGCTGCCACTACTGCTGTGTTCACACTGTCATGGTAGACGGATGATGGCAAACTTTTCTATGTTTTTCAATGGAAAAGTAACAGACGCAGCAGAGCCAGCGGCAACAAAAGGGACGGGCAGATCAATACAGAGGTATCACTGTTTCCAATCCTGACATTACCTTTTAAGAAGTATTCTCTATGAAAGCTTCTGTTATGAGATGTGTTTTCTGATGCAAGAAGTACCTTTTCTTTAGAAACAGTCCTGTACAAAAGTCAGCTAAGCACAATATTTAAAGCCACTTATCTAGGCAATAAGCATGCTTGCTTGTTCAATAAGCATGTCAACAGAATAAATGCAAATAAACATAAATAAAAAGTAGCTAATGTCTTGTGAGCTACTTTGAAGAACAAAGGTTTGGGTCCAGATTTCTCTTCAATGCCCCAAAAACATCACATAAATTGCTTAAATTCAAGCATATCTGATTTTATTTAATGAAGTACTGATCAGCCAAACCGGGTGTTGGATGATAACTACAAATAGGCCTAATTCTGGGCTGCCACGAGGAGCAGCTCAGCACAGTTCAGTAAATGGTTCAGCAAACACACTCACATCCATAAAATCTTTACTTATTGCAATATTCGTGTTCATCTGAGCAAATACGCTTACCAGCCAGATAAACAGCTTTTGAAACCTAATTTCCTGAAAAGTCCCGAAATTTGTAATAGTAAAAACGTTGATCCGTGTATTACCTATTTTGACTGTAGAAATCACAATTATTTCCTTGGTACTTGGTAAAAGTACTGGAACAGTTATCAGCCTTGGTAAGAGACGGTTTAAGGGGAGCGAGTCCTCAGTGAATGGGGCTGAATAAAAGATAAAAATGAAAAACTAAACATGTTTCTAATGATTTGTGTAGAAACTTCCTTCAAATTTGGGAAAGCAGAAGGATGTTCTCCATTAAAATCATCAAAGATGAACAAAGAAAACTTAACAGGATATTTACATTTTTCTACAACAAACAGTCTTTGGGCAGTAGGACGCTAACCTCACTGCTACTGAGCGTTGATTGGTTAGCATTACCACTACTAAGTGCTGATTGGTTGGCATTACTGCTAATGAGTGCTGACCGGTTGGCATTACTGGTATTAAGTATTGATTGGTTAGCACTACAGCTACTGAGTGATGATTCGTTAGCACTACTGCTACTGAGAGCTGATTGGTTGGCATTACCGCTACAGAGTGCTGATTGGTTGGCATCACTGCTACTGAGTGATGACTGGTTGGCATTACCAGTACTGAGTGCTGATTGGTTGGCATTACTGCTACTAAGTGTTGATTCGTTAGCATTACTGCTACTGAGTGCTGACTGGTTGGCATTACCGCTACTGAGTGCTGACTGGTTGGCATTACCGCTACTGAGTGCTGACTGGTTGGCATTACCGCTACTGAGTGCTGATTGGTTGGCATTACTGCTACTGAGTGCTGACTGGTTGGCATTACTGGTTTTAAGTACTGATTGGTTAGCATTACTGCTACTAATTGTTGATTTGTTAGCAATACTGCTACTGAGTGATGATTTGTTAGCATTGCTGCTACTGAGTAATGATTGGTTGGCACTGCTGCTACTGAGTGCTGATTGCCACGTTTAGAAAGCCCTAATGCTGGAGTTCAAAAGTGCTCAAAAATATAACAGCAGTGTTGAAATATTTATGCTATATTACTGCATTTATCTATATAAAACATGATTAAGCATTTATAGACTACAATTTTGTACAAATGCTCCACAGTAGTCCTTTCATTGTGGACTCGCCTGGGAGCGTCCTCTAGCTTTTTAACAAACCCAGAAGACATTACTGAGTGGCTATTCTCCTTACTACACATTCTCTGGTATTACTTAGAATCAGAGGTAGAAGAAAGGAAAATCAGTGGCGCTACCCATCCCTAGAGTTTAATTTATCCAAATTCTGATATACACCAGAGCTTGTAGTTCAAGTCCAGGTGCTCTTGGTCATTTTACAGCAAAAATTAAAAGACTCATGTCTTTTTAAAAAGCTAATACATATAATAGAGGATGACAAAGTTCTCCTTTGATTGTCATCATCAATCCCTCACTGTTCATGCCACACTTACATTTGCGTCAAAAACAACGTACGCAGCAAAGGTAAGCCGCCGATGGCAACATTGTTGCCATGGCGATAGAGTTTTAAAGTCTACTAAAAATGGATGATGCTTGAAGAAGAGATTCGACAGACTTTATTTATTGAAGGAGGAAACTGTTTTGGTTTCTTTTCAGTTTTGAAGAATATTAAACCTTTCTGTTTTTTCTTCTGCACAGCAACATGTGAGCACAGAGTGAAAACATGCCGGCGTGTGCGTGTTCTACCTCTCGGACGTTGGGCAGCTCCAGTATGTCTGAGAAAACATAAAGCCCTGGAGTCTCCAGCAGAGAACTGATCGCTTGAGCCAAGGCTGAACCTGATAAAGACAGCAGCTGATCCACCTCCATCTGATAGAGAGAGAGAGAGAGAGAGAGAGAGAGAGAGAGAGAGAGAGAGAGAGAGAGAGAGAGAGAAGGAGAGAGAGATGTTTAAGGAAAATGAACGTGTGATTAGACCAAGTGTTACAACAGGAAGGGGTTTAATCTCACCTCTACACAGACACCTCAATATGATAGATGTTCTAATCAAATTTACGCTAGGAGGCTGCAATACCTTATAATAAATGTACCTGGCTGTCAAAAACGTTTGGAATAAATCTCATTACGATGATGTTAAATCCGGCACACTGTGCTTTCAGCGACGTTTCCATAATTCAGATGTTTAATTGACAGATGGCGGCACCAAAAGAACAGCCATGAAAAGGATTTTTTAAATCAGACTGTGGAAATCTGCAAAGTACAGAAAAGAGATCTGTCAGACTAAGGCCTGATCCCATTTCACCCCTCGCCCCTACCACTTAGCCCTTACCCCTCCGTTTTGCGGATTCATGTACAGGGGCTGGGCTGTGCCGATTTTTGTTGAGACAGAGGGGTAGGGTGAAGTGTTTGGGCTACAAGGCCCTCAAAACGGAGGTTTTTCAGAAACACTCCAAACAGAGTGTTATGAGAAAAAAAAAACCTTTAAGATGGCTGAACAAGAGACCAAAGAAACCCACAAATGTGAGAATTTTCTATGTTAAAAATAATCATAACTATTGTATTATCTTAGTTTAATGTCACTTCAGTGTATTATGGCCCTTTTCTCCATAACAAGCTTAAAAAAATCACTACTAGTATGCTGAGGTCTCGGTAGCTAGCTAGCTAAATTTCATGTTCCACCTTAAATGGTGAAGCAGTTACATCCTGGCTCCTCAGGCTTCACAACCGCTGCTCCATAAAAGGTAGAACGGAAAAATTCAAACAAGAAGCTGGTGAATATCTGACTTCAGCTTCATATCACTGAAGAATTAGGGGTGGGCGATAATAAATAATTGCCCCCCTCTTTGAAGGCATATGCTGCCCTAAATGTGACTAAAGCCCAGCAGTGAGGAGCTGAACTTTACCCTCCTCTGCTGTCACTGCAGACTGGCAGGGTCGCCTACAGAGCAGCGCTAATAGCTGTTAATGAAGTAATGCTCTTTTTATTTGAGGGTTGTTCCAATGGGTAAGGAGACACTCGAAAAACAAGGGGTAGGGGTAAAAACAAGAAATGGGATTGGGTCTATCTCTCTGACCAAGGAAATCATAGCTTACTTCTGCTAACACAGCTGCAGGCAGAGTAAGAGAGATTAATGTGACTGATTCAGGGAGGGTCTCTGAATTAGCTGAGCGTTTTCTTTCAATGACTGGTAGGAGTGGGAGATGAAACATAACATTATAACTTAATTATTAGGGATACCACTTTTTCCCCTCTGATGCCGATATCTGATCCTTAAATATCTGCCGATAACAAGTCCTGATTTCAATACTAACTCTATCTAACCCAACTACCCTGTCCTGACATTTATATAATTCCAAGCTGTAAAAATATATATAGTGGGGTCCAAAAGTCTGAGATCACCAGAGAAAATGCTTCTATTTTGCATTCCTTTCTAATTTATTAGAATGATTTTCATTACAAATCCCATCATTAGCATAACAATTTAATGAAAAGTAGAATCTTTAAAATTTTGACATGAATTTCAGAGTTTATTAGTATTTGTTATGTCCTTTTGCTCTAATGACAGCATGTGCTTGAGCTGAGATGGACTCCACAAGTTTGTACTAAAATTTCTGATGAGTACATCAGATCCACCTGAGATTCACCTAAACACGGGCTTTAACATGGTCAATTTCACACATTTGTTTAAATTTGAGCAGTGACCTAGAAAAATGTTAATGAGTATTTGTCGTAACTTTTCTTTGTTTTAAACTGTCCAAATCCTAAAACGTCCTGTTGTTTATTTCCAACTGTCAAAGAAAGAAATCCCATATTTTCTATGTGATCTCAGTCTTTTGGACTCCCCTTTGCTTAAGAAAACCTATTTTTGTTTGTTTACTATATATAATTAATATGTATTATTGTATACTTAGTATTTAGAGCCAAATCTAACAACTGTAATAAATGCTACATATTTTATTGTGCCAAAAAGTTAAAAACAGAACTGAACTGTACACAGATAAAGCAGCTCACACTCCCGATTACATCTCCGAGCATCAGATTCTGCTGGAGTTCAGTAAATATCACAGTCATTCAGTCTTTAGCAGATTTATCTGATTGATTAAATCAACAAGCGATGACACAACACTGCTGACCGACAAGAGGTGCACTGCAGGCTGGGCTAGTGGACACACAGATCCGGCTAGCGGGCTGCTATGCTAAAGGCTAAACAAAGACTGAAGGCCATCTTTACCCCAAGAGACTGGCAGTTCCTTCCATATGTCTTTCCAGTGTTCACTTCCTTAGAAACAACCTGGACTAACATTAAATCAGACTGTAACAGACCAAACAGCAGATGAGGGATTACTGAGAGAAGCCTGACTAGGCCATTCAGGTAAAGGGGGTCCCGTTAGAGTGTTTTAATTGTTTGTACGTTATCTGCTGTATTTATGACAAACTGGTGAAACTAACAGCTTTGAAATAATTCCATTCCAACTGGTATATCAACCCTACTACTGCCTTCTCACAAACAAATGGCGTTACAGATTTTGCCATGACCATTTTCACACGCACACATCACTCAGTAGTACATGTGTGTGTCAGAAACTGCTTCGTTATCGTTAACCCAAATCTTATCTTTTTTCTTCATATGTGACAGAAGTGTTACCTGTTTTGGCAGTGAGAACAACAAAAACACAATGAATCCGACAATTCCGATTTGGGACACTTTCATTTGTGGTACTGAAATCCGACGTGTACCCGATATGCTACAATGCGACTCGGTCTGAACAGACAGATAGGAATTCATGCAACTTTGTCAATCCAACCTCGACATTCATCACAATTTCGTGCAGCCCTCATAAACATTTGAGGTGATGTTTCTGTACAAACAAAATTAGAAGACCGTTTGTCCGTTTGTTGCTTTTTATTATTTTTACCGGTGACCAGTGTTTTATGTAATGTCGTTGAAGGTAAAATAATGATTTTGAAAAAGTTACATTTTCATTCGGGGACTATTTTGCCTTAGAACACCTGTACCCCTCCTCCATAAATAGATTAAAATTAATTCATTAAAATACGTTTTAGACCAAAGCTTCATTTCAAATTTAGCAAATCTAAAACAATGTGTCAGGCATTTTGAAAAATGGGTGGAATTCCCCTTTAAGTAATACTAATCTCGCTAGGTATTCATCTAATGGCATGGCATCTACTATGGGCACTTTGACAGTAATTCACAAGTCTTGATTTTTATAAATTACATCCGTTTTAATCTACCTATTTCACTGAAATGATTTCCTCATTGTGTTCAGCCTGTCCACAGCAGCTTGACATGGACTTTGTCAAAACGTGTTCATCCAGAAAGAGAGAAGCAAAGGCTAAAGTGTCAGTGGCTGATAAAAAAACTCGTCAACGCACATTTAAATACGTTTAAAAGACTCCAATTCCGGAGTGGCGTGTCCATAAAAACACAAAAATATCAATGTTTTATGTAGCTGAAGTCAGCTTCTTATTCGAATTTTCCCGTTCCACCTTAAATGGAGCAGCAGGTACATTCTGGCGCCTTAGGTGGCGCAGCAGTTACAGTAACTGCTGCACCATTTAAGGTGGAACGGGGAAATTCGAATAAGAAGCTGGCGAATAGGAAACCCAAGTTCAGCCTCGTCAATGTTTCAGCACTGCCGAGGCACAAAAATACGAAACCAAGCACTTTAAATCGCTTTTAAGTGCCTAAATGTGTAAAATACATTGGTCCACCTCTCAGAAAACCAGGTCAAAGGAGTCAAATCCGTTTGAGACGTTAGTCTCTGCTATCGGCGCTGCTACTGTAGCGTTAGCTTAGCTGAGAAACACTGCTAGGCCTGAGCTCCTCTTAACCGGGTTTAACTGTCTGCAGCGCAGACTTCACTGCATATGTTTCAACAAGAGTCTCCCGAGAATGTCCGCCGCTACTCGCTACTCACTTTACCACAAAAACTAATGTAAAAAACATTTACCTTTATGTCATAAACTAGGTAAGATCGCTTCTCCTCCCCGTAGTCCTACTGACTCCTCGATAAGCTGACGGGCCACAACACAACATCGGCGTCTCTGATTGGACAAACAGGAACGAGTAGGCGGTGACAAGCGACGGCTCGACCAATCGGGTGCCTCGAAACGGCGTCGGCGCATGACGTCGGTGCGCCATCTGTCTGCAGTGTGGATAACAGCTTTATCAGGGTGGGTCTGTACTATTTCTGAGTTTATTGATCAGTTTTTCTAACTATATTCCTCTAAACATGATATCAATAACTGTTTTAAAAGCAAGACATTATTGCTACATTATACTGTATTTGTTTGTTGGGAGGGTTGGGCAGAATACTTTGAAAAAATAGACCTAATGATGGCTGAATATTGAAAACACTGTCCTACATGTGTTTAGTTTTTGCCTGCTCCATTCCTGTTTCCACAGTCCCCCTAGCAGGAGTCCATGTCCCCTACAGAAGAGACTGAGCACTTTAATCAGCCCCCAAAAGAGTTTAATAATGCAGAGAATAAATACTGGCTCATCACATTGATTTATCAGTCTACTCAGGCTTTAGCAGAGCTCAGTAACACTGAGATTAATAACTGATCATCACATTGATTTATCAGTCTACTCAGGCTTTAGCAGAGCTCAGCAACACAGATTAATAACTGATCATCACATTGATTTATCAGTCTACTCAGGCTTTAGCAGAGCTCAGCAACACTGAGATTAATAACTGATCATCACATTGATTTATCAGTCTACTCAGGCTTTAGCAGAGCTCAGTAACACTGAGATTAATAATTGATCATCACATTGATTTATCAGTCTACTCAGGCTTTAGCAGAGCTCAGTAACACTGAGATTAATAACTGATCATCACATTGATTTATCAGTCCACTCAGGCTTTAGCAGGAACGTCAACATTTACAAAGAAGCTGTTTATCCAGTTCCCTTTTAAGAGTGCGTCTAAGCGGCTATGTGCCGTGCACTGATTTTAAAACAGGTAATAAACAAGCTTTGATGTGTTATTAAAGATGTATTTTTTACTTAGTGGGTAAGTATTCTAAAGGTATTCTCCTAAATATGCAAAAGTTAACTGTATTCTGAATACTGCTTTTACAAAATGTAACATGGACTGAATACAAATACTTAATTTATGTATTCTAAATACATATTCCCAATACTTGTACATCCCAAGCCTGTTTGTTTGTTCTTATTGTAATGTTATATTGTGTTTTTACAGGAAAAACACTAAATGCGATAAACATATTTCATGACTGCATTTAGGACAGTACTACATATCTTAGACACCTAAGCATATTAAACGCACTTATCTTGGCAATATGTGTGTTTTTTGCCAGTAACACCATATATCATTAAAATAAATGCAAGTAAATGTAAATACAGTAAAAAAATAAGAGGAATTTCTTATTTTGAAGAAAAGTAGAGCTCTCGTGAGCTCTCTAGTTTGAAGAACAAAGTTTGGTTCCAGATTCTCCTGGACGTCTCCAGCCATCACACAGATTTGTTAAAGTCCATCAGCAGCACACTTGATTTAACATAATGAAGTACTGCTCAGCCAAACCAGATGGATGATGATTACAAATAATGCTGGGCTTCTTCAAGGGGAGGGTTGGAAATAGTTAAACAAACGAAATCAGTACATATGGGATTAAAATTTTTTATGCATAATTTTAAAATGCCAGCTGCTGTTTACTTTTCATGACGAATGTCATGGTTCATTTTATACGACTATTATCCAGGATAATCCATATATGTAAACAGCCTCAGTCCTGATTGGATGCTCTGTATTGGGCTTTATTCAAAAAGCAGCAAGTAAATGTCCTCATGGTTGTGATTTCTTTACAGTGATGGTGATAGGAACCTGGGGTCTCCATGTCTAGAACACAAATGTAGCCATTTTATTTACCATCTAAAACAACAAGTGAACCTTCAAATGTCTTGTAACTTTAAGGTTTATCATGTAAAATAGTAAATCAGGAAAAAATAAGTTTTCTTTGGGGACAATTTTGCCTTAAAACAATCTACATGTACCTCTCCACCATGCAGGATATAAAAAGTATGTTTTAGACCAAAACCTTTTCAAAACTATTGTAAAACAATGTCATCAGTCAACGTATTCGTTACTATTTCATGTAGTAACATTCTGTGAGGGAGCTTTTAGGGGCATTAAACTCTTCAGATGTCTGGTTCCTATCAAGTTTCTCTACAACAAAGCATTTCACACCAAACCACTCTGAATGATGTTGTTTACATCTTAACCATTTAATTATGCAGAAATTAAAAAAAAAGTGGAGTTCCCCTTTAAACAGCTATTAAACAAAGTTTTTATTCAAAAACTGTAGGAATTCACCAGCACTCTCTGTTTTGGCTGTGACCAAACTCAAATGGCCAGCTGGAGCTTCTGGCTTCAGAGCAGAAAAGCTCTCAGTCCAAAGTCTTCTCAGTCCAGTGTTGCAATCCTTATCGACAGAAATCCACACAAGAGCCAAATTAAACTCAGCCCAGTTTGGTAGATCTTCCATTTTCTTTATTTGTGGAAAAAGAGTGCAAAAAAGGTACAAAACATTCAAAACATTTAAAAGTTACAAAAGTCATCAGAACATTACTTTCAAAATTTGTTTTACAGTGGATTCTATTAAGGATGTGAAAAATCAGCAATTTTTTCTACGTTTGTTCTCCCAATTTTTAACAATCGAAATTTGTGAAAGATGTGAAAGAAATCCTCCATTAAAAAACTAAGATAACATTACAGCTGATGACTGCTAAGGAATGTATTAGCTCAATAAAAATAGCCTCAATCAATAGTGGAAATTAGTGAGAAGACAATTTAACATGTTCCAGAATTTGCATTTCATGTTTTATTTCTCAATAAAACTCTTTTGGCTTTCCTTTGCTATTTTTGTATGATGAACATGAACAGCTCTTTGCTGCAGATAACCTACCAGATGTCTTCACATGTAGACTGTGAAGCGGGTTTTGTAATCTCTCGTAATGAAGTGAATTTTTGACATAACTGATTGGCCACCTAATGTCATACCAGAGCCGGATTATGAGGAGCCTGGCCGCTTCCTATTTCCCCCGTTATATCAAAAACATGACTGTAATATGCCAGAGGGGAACCCGGGGGTGAGTCCTCAATGAATGGGGTGAATAGAGCTAAATGGCTAAAAACGAAAAGTTAAGATAGGTTCTAATCACTTACCCAGAACTTTTCTTTAATTTTAGAAAGTAGAAATATGTATTTTACTAAAAAAAAAAAGAAAACTTAGATGTGTGTTTCCTTTTTTCGACAGCAAATGGTTTTTGGGCAGCAGGATGCTAGCGTTAGCACAGACTTTATGAACTTGCATGAGGTGCCATTTTAAATTCCTATAACTCGAGTTTAAAAGCTCTTAAAAACATAACAGCAGTGTTAAAATGTTTTATGCTGCTCTGTGTTCAGGAAATGATTGTATTCTTTTACATTAAAGATGTTTAAGAATTTATAAACGATGATTTCGCTCAGATGCTTCATCTTAACCCATTCAATTTGGGCTCTCTCAGGAGCGCCCTCTAGCGTTTGAGAAACCCAGAAGACATTACAGAGTGGTAATTCTCCTCTCTACAAGTTCTCTGGTCATACCTTCTAGTAATTACAAAAACCAGGACCGGAAACTGGATTCAAGGTTCAGATTTAAAGGAATAGTTCAAGTCAAATCTACATCATGAATCATATTAACTCGATCGGCCAAGACACCTTTGGGATCCAAATTGTGCTCCTTTAATTTAGAACTGCAGCGAGGCTAACATTGCTAATACTAGAAATCAATAGTCACCTAAACAGCACAAACCGTTTCTGTAAAAATACATAAAAAATCTCCTCTCAAACCGCATCCAGGTCTTCACTGAGGTGGTGCAGACTTGTCGACATGGTTTAGAGCTCAGTATGACAAACTATGAGCTATAAGCCTATTTAGATTACTCTCCACATTCGGAATAGCCAGCTGTCCATTAGCAAAGTCAACTTGTATCGTTAACTGAATTCATTCAGTTTTTGAAAAAAAAATTGTCCATTTTTTGTGACAGTTTTTCAATTAACCGATTAAACATGTAGCTGTTTACATCCTGAGTTTCTATCTACATTACAGTGCGGTGCTTCAGTCTACAGTAATGGCGTCCATCTCACAGATGCGTTTGTAATGGAAGTCGCAGGGCACGTCGTGCCAGCTTTTAGTGTGGTACTCCAGCACGGCACAGTCTTCACCATGAAGTCCTCCAGACTCGTGATTATTGGGCTCTCCGTTCAATTCATTCCAGTACCTACAGGGGGCGAAAGTGAGTGGGTACAAAACAAATAATGAACCAAGGAATGAAAAAGAAACACAAAAACTGATCATTTATGTTTTTACAGAATGTAAACGAACAGGCCTGTCTCTGTGGGAGGGCATTACATAAGATTAAATAAGATTTTCCAGATGAAAAGTTCATATTTGTATCTTTTCATAACCGAATGTTTTAAAACAGAACAGTAAAATAAAAGCCTGGAGACGAGACGGGGTGTGTGGAGTCAGTACAGCTTAGAAAATATCATTTCAACGGATTATAGTACAATTATGTTCCCTGACTACAGGTACTCAGATGTACCCTTGAGTGGACCACCCCAGTGACAAGAGGAGAACTGCCCCAGTGACAGTTTAGTACCTTTATTTCTGAGAGTGCACCCAGTAAGATTGCTTGGCCAGTCCAAAAACTGGCTGGCACATACACTGACACACTTCGACTCAACACCTGGATGTGCATCACACTTATGTTACACAAGCGTCCAATCGTGGCAGAAGGGGAGGAGTGGACAGTGAGGGGCGGCAGGTTAGTGAGGCTAGCCATACAAACTTTGCAGTGCAAAATGTTTTTAAAAAGTTTGAGCATAACGTACATAACGTGTGTGAGTGACTGCTATAAACTTGGAGTCGGGTCGTATTGTAGTGCATTTCCTTTTGTTCTTGTTAACCGTGTAGCCTTTAGCATGCTAATGAGCCAGCTAGCAGAGGAAAGTGATGAAGGTGTATCAGCAGTCGTGTATGTTATGGTGTAATGGTTAGTACTCTGGACTTGGAATCCAGCGATCCGAGTTCAGATCTCGGTAGAACCTAGTTTCTGGGGGCAGTCATGGGCTGGAGGTTAGGGAACCAGCCTTGTGACTGGAAGGTCACCGGTTGGATCCCCTGAGCCAACAGTATGTGACTGAAGTGCCCTTGAGCAAGGCGCCTAACCCCCAACTGCTCCCCGGGCACTGCGGATAGGGCTGCCCACTGCTCTGGGCAAGTGTGCTCACTGCCTCTAGTGTGTGTGTTCATTAGTGTGTACGTGGGGTCTCACTGCACGGATGGGTCAGATTGCGGAGGTGAAATTTCCCTGTTGTGGGACTAATAAGGGTCACTTAATAATAATTAATAATAATAGTATAAATTAAATGGCATTTACATGCGTTTGCCCTACACTACATCCCAGTTTGCTTCATAACAGAACTGTGACTGAGTTGAAGATAAAGAGATCTTTCAGGTCCACACATTTGAATACGCATGTCTATCCATGCAACGTGTGCCTATATGTTAGCATGGTCTTACGTTTTGTTGACCAGTGTGTCGTCCACCCATTTCCACACTCCTTCTTCTTCAGAGTCTGTCAGGCCGATCCAGAAATGGTAGTCAAACCCACCGATGCTGCGGGCTATTTTCTGCAGTTGATCCTATAACAAAATTATAAAACATGCTAAAGCAACTGTGAAAAATCTCAACTTACAGTTTTCTCTCAACTCGCTCAGCCAAGACATGTTTACAGTGTGAAGTCTGCTTTGAACACAGTAGTAAGATGCTACTGCTACTAATGTTTTTAGCTATGTGATGTGTTTTTTGTCCATGTTTATACATAACAGTGTGTCATACAGTGTCAGAAACCACATACGCAAGTCTATTAGAGATTACATAACAACTCAACATGGTTTGAGGTTAATATGTGATAAATTAGGCTTGTTAGCTACATTAGCCTCATAGCTCCAGTGCAAAACTAAAGAAGCAGACTTCATACACCAAACACGTCTCGACTGATCGACTAAATTTGGGGTAAGGAGGAAAAAACCATTAAAACATAATGAATGTCATGTAAATGAAACAGAAACATTAGTACATTTGTACTGTACTGTGCAAAAAAACATTTACTTAAATTTCCAGTCAAAACAGCCATTAAGTACAAGTTATTCATTTTTTTTAAAGAGATATTTCTGACAAGACTAGATATAAGACTAGACCAATGTATAAGACTAGATAATCCACCTGCATACAGGAGTTCCCAAAACTCGAATACAAAAAATGATTAAAAGCTACAGAGAAAATGGGCCTCCTAACAACCACCTGGAAGACCTGGTAGACTGTCAAACTGCCCCCATCAGATAAACAGCACTTAAAGCTTTCATCTCTGAGAGAGAGGAGAAAATCAAGCTGCTTCAGATCTGAAAACATCCACAGGTGTTTCTGTCCATCCTTCCACTGTGAGAAGACGACTCAGCGCTGTGGGTCTGAAAGGATGTGTAGCTGATCAAGAAGAACCTCACTGAGAAAAGGAGACGGACACACCAAACAAAGAAGCTGAACAATGGACTGACCACCCCAGAGTCCAGACCTCAACACCACTGAATGTGTTTGATTACTTCAGAAAGTGATCAACCAGCTTCTAAGACTGAACTTTGGAGGCGTGTCTGCAGATTTACTGATTTAGAAACTGAAAGCGAGTCTCCTGAAAAGAATGGAAGCTGTAATAAACGTACAGAGTGGACAGAATAGATACTGAAAAATGTGCTATGTTGAGTTGTTGAGACTCCTGTGAACCTTTCTTTTACTTACATGTTTACTTATATGCTTTTTTTGCTTAAAGCTAAAAACAATGAATAATTTGTACTTAATAGCCATTTTGATTGGAAATTAAATTTGCACAGTGCAAAATGACAAGAAATAACTACAGATCCATAATTACAGGTCATTATTTATGATTTAACCCCTTACCAAGCCATTACACACTTCTATAACCTAAGAGAAGTTCCATTAGTTTGCATTGAAGTCCCTGTAGTTACTGAATAATAAGCTTTAGTATGTAATAAGCCTGAGATTTTAGGAGGTTAATAACTTATTGTTCCTAAAATGCTCGAAATACTGAGTAAGACATTTAAAAGCAACATTTGCTGTCTAGTTCAGAAAAAACTACACTGCATTAGTTCATAATTAATATAGCAAAATGAGTAAAATGTGATGAAAGTGATTCTAAACTTGTGAACAGTAGTGCACATCTACACACGTACATGCTGCTGGTGGGTGTGGAGGATTGTTAAATGGCTGCCCATAGACACACAGCTCTCTTTACTGTTCTTCCAGTCCAGTTTGTCTGCACTGAAGAAGTAGCATTTCCCGTCTAGATGTGTCCAGCCCTCCGGACACGGCATGCACGTCCTCACTGGGGTGGGTCAGGGGTGGAGGGGGTGCAGGGGGATCACAGAGAGACAGAAAAAGCAGGGGTTAAAAAAAAGTTAACAATGCAGAGATGATGCAATTCTTTCTTTATACAGGCCAATTTCCACAGCAGGACCTTTTGGCTACGGATACTGCTTCCGAATAATTGGGCTTCCTCACATTTCCATACAGTATCAGCTACAGTAACAAAACCAAGGAAGAATGAGTGTCATTTAAAAGAGGCTGTAGCTCTCCATGGGACTGATAACAGTAGTATCTGCAACACCACACAATTCCAAATGCGATGTGATGCAAGCGTCCACTCTGCTGCAGCAATGTGCTCCCGCTGGACTGGGACGCGCCAAGGTGCACACAGGCGAAGACAGTGACTCCAAAATCAGTTAAAAAAAAACCCTCAACACTAAAAAGTTACTCAGAATTGTAATATTTTTTCGCAATTAATAGAATTGGAAGGTCTGACTGTTAGATTAAACAAGGCCCAAACACAATAAACAATACAAGCTTGGACTGAAATGGCACCTACTACTGGAAATTCTGTATAGACATTCTCATTGTACTAAAGAAGGGCTTCGGTACGCATGTATCTACATCTTTGTGTCAAGGTTTTCAGGGGTTTTTTGAGGCCACCTCCAACTCCCAGATTGTTAACTCTTACCGATCAATTATTTCCACATGTAAGCAAAACTCAATAAAAACTGATCACAAAAAATCCCCAACCATTTAATTTTTTACATTTATTCAGTTTGTTACTTTCTTTCAAGGGTAAAAATAAATCAGTTCTCTGAAAAATGGCAAATTTCTCTGACTAACAAAAGATTGACGTTGATCAAATTAGCTACCAGCACTGTGTATAACCTTACAGTCAATTCTTGAAGTAGGCCGGGGTACTCGCTAGCCACGTTTTACAGGCTAATAATCCGTTAATAATCCGACTATTAGCTCAACTGGAATAGAAGACGTCAATATATACAGCTCAATCAGAATAAACTAGTTAGATTGAGGCCAATCAGAATACAATTCCAATTCCAATTGAACGAGGTGGGTAATCCTGTAAATAATCCGTTAAACAGAAGAATAATATCCGTGTAAACGCCTGTATCTGATTACATTCCCTATCGGAAAGTTTAAGTCCGTTCTGATCATGTTCGTCGCCTCATAGTGAAAGTTTATACCGTTCAACATGGCGGAGCAGAAACTGGTCTGCAGAGGAGACGAAGTTTATGCTCTGATCTTTAAAAGACGGCGGTGGGACGGACGTCCAGCTTATGTGTCTGAGAACACGACATCTTTCGGCCTTCTTTAATAAGGACATGTGAAGAACGTTTTCCTGAGTCTGACATCATTTTAAAGCAATTAAAAACACAAGCACTGCTCACTGCTGATCTCACTCTGACTGGACTCACGCGATGCTCGTTGTCATGGTAACGTCTACACTAAGTGGTACTTTACGCATGCCACGTGTGAGTCAGACAATGACACGACAGAGCTTCAACTAGAACCAGTACTAAATGGAGGCTGGAAGCAGCAAGCTAACGTTAGCACCACTCCTAGCAGCGAGGGGCCCGTTGATGTAGCATCAGCAAAAACACCTGCAGCTACTGCTAGCGCAGCCAACTACGACGGTAACAATAATGTCAGTAGAGATGAATGGCCTGACTATTGGTCAAAGGATTAAATGATTTTTTTATTGCTCCCAGAACAACTGGCTCATTGTCAAAGGTGAAGCTCGGGTGCAAAGGGTGTAAAAAAGAAATAGCACCAACTGAGGCTGTCAACAGACTGGAGCTGGTACTGACAAGGCTAGACAACAATTACTGCATAAAAGGTCAAGGAATGCAGAGATTCCAGATCCCAATTAAAAGAAGCACAGATTAAAAAGATCATCACATGTTGACTTTCAAAAATTCAAGACATGCACAGGGCAAAGCGAATGTGCAAGAGTTAAACAGAGCGAACTGAGCTAAGATTAAACCCAAACAAGACGTGTGCTGATATGATTGACCATTTTGTAACAGAGATGAAGGAAAAAAAGTAAACAACATAGACAAAAAACAGACAAAAAATACATTATTAAATTATTATAGGCTATATTATGATTCTATGTGATAAAATTAACAGTTTTGCATGTATGTCCCTGTAAGTATACAAATGTATCTTGGGAAAATTAGTGATATCTCCTAGCATCTTTCATTTACTCCACTTTTATTCTCCCCACTTCAAGCACTGCCAACAGTTGTACGCAAAAGTTCAAACCCTTCTGGATCAAATTATGTTTTGTTGAGTTTCTAAGTGAAAATAAGTTAACAAATCCTCTGCAGGGAACTAACTATGGAATTCGTCTGCCGATTTTGGTGCACACTTTCAATTTATCTATCTATCTATTTATCTATGTATCTATATATCTGCATATATATTTATCTGTCTGTCTATCTCCATGTGTCTCAATTCAGGGGCTGTGTCCTTCGGAAGCTGCATTTGAAGGCCGATTGCGTCACAGTGGTGCGACTAGGCTGTCCCATTTCAAAGGCTCCTTCATATACAGCCGAGAAATGTGTCCCTCTTTTCCATCCTTCCCCAGCTGACATATCCCGAGGTTCATTGCGTGCCAGTGAGGATTCGAGAACATGGTGGCATCGCCAGAGGAGCGAGCGGTGGCTGAAGAGTACACTCTTAAATAGAAGTTAAATATATATAAATATAAGCATTGTGTTTAAACTGAGGCGACTGGCTAGGGATACAAATGTAAACAAAAAAAAAAAAAATCTCTTCAGTAGCCGGCGGTGAAGCATCTCCAGCTCTAATACCTTCGTAGACCGCGTCCTTTGAAGGATCCAACCCCTGAATTGGGACACACTGTATCTGTCTATCTCTCTACCTGTCTATCTATTTATCTACATATATATTTATCTATTTGTCTGTCTATCTATGTACCTGTTTATCTGTCATGTGTCTGTCTATCTGTCTGTCTATCTGTCTGTGTCTATCGTCTATCTACATATATATTTATCTATTTGTCTGTCTATCTATATACCTGTTTATCTATCTATCTGTCTATCTGTCTGTGTCTATCGTCTATCTACATGTATATTTATCTATTGGTCTGTCTGTCTGTCTATCTAAGGTGTGCAACAACAAGGGGTGCTATAACGACAGCCAAGCCTGTCCAAGCGGTTCTGTACCGCCAGTGTGCTTTCTCAACTACCATAGCAGACAGTTGAGTCTCAAGCAAAGAAGGCTTACGATAACATAAAGACTATGAATCATTGTCGCCTTTCCATTCCAACTGTAGATGTAAAGCAGCTCACTCTCCTCTACTCATTCATGGTTCATTGTTGAGGCTGTTGGAATAACAGTAGATCCCTCTCTGATTTGTCCTCTATCGCCCCCTTCAGTACTGCATGTTTTTACCACAGCAATGTAAGAACGCACAGTGAGTTTGGACAGAAGGATCGAGCGTTTGCAATGTGTTGGCCGAGCGCTGTCATTTGCTGTCATTTGAAAGCTTCTGGCCAAATGCTGGTGGTAACAAAACTACGTTTTTGTTGGATTAGTGAGTCTTCATCACAGAAAGTTCAATATTTGAGAAAATGTCTGGCCCACTGCTGAGATTTTGGTTCTGCCAATGAGGTCGACTCTCTGTCTGTTCATGCTTATAGGTGAATGGTCCACAAAGTTTTAGAAAAGTGGAGATTTTTCATATAGTCGTCTTTACATGTACTCAAAAAATGGTGGGGCATCACCCCAGTTCTTTAAAAGGTGGTCGGTGAAAAGCCTGCTCACCCCTGTGCTTCTGGCGGCCCTGCTTTCTTCATTGTCTTCAGTTTTTCTAACACACCTAAATTTTTAGTTTGAGCGTCCTGGTCAAATGACATGTTTTGTTGGTTTTCTAAGTGAAAAATAAGTCAACAGATGTTGCTATGGTTGCAGTTTTTCATAAAAGCCCAAGTGTCCCTTCAAGTCTTTTAGCTTGTAAAACATAATTTCAGACATATTAAGACTCTTCTAAGACCCACAAACGCCCTGTTTTTATGCACTTTAAAGCACAACCAAACTGCAGGCCCTCACCTGATGCTGAAAACTTTTGTCCCAGAGTGGTGTAGTCGGAGCAGAGGCGAGAGAAGCGCTCCTGAAGGGCGGTCAGTTTCAGAGAGAGAGAGGCCGACTCTGACTCTGAGCCAGCTGCGTTCTCCACGATGGTGGAACCGTTGGATCTGCTGTTCGTCACTGCAGGCCGTGTGGGAGAGAAAGAGTTTACTGAAGTTGTTCTTTAACTACACTGTCTGAAACGGATCAAAATGACATTACTGTGGAATCTTTCCCTGCTGGAGCTCCTCCAGACAGACAGACACACGGACAAACACACATGCGCATACAAACACTCACAGAAGAGGATGCTGCCCTATGGGGAATGTGTGTGTGTGTGTGTGTGTGTGTGTGTGTGTGTGTGTGTGTGTGTGTGTGTACGTGTGGAAGTGTGTTTACTCACAGAGAACACCGAGCACGATGTTCGCACAGAGAGACGCCAACAGAGCCACCAACAGGACAACAGCCACCTGACCCCTCAAACACTCCGCTCCTTTAACCACACCTTAGACAGACAAACAGATGATTAAATAGATACAGACAGATATATAGATTGACAGACAGACAATAAATATATATGTAGATAGATAGACAGACAGATAGACAGATAGATAGATAGATAGATAGATAGATAGACTGATAGAAAGACAGACAGACAGACAGATAGATAGACAGATAAATAGTTAGACAGACAGACAGGTAGATAGATAGACAGACAGATAGATAGATAGAAAGACAGACAGACAGACAGATAGACAGATAAATAGTTAGACATACAGGTAGATAGATAGACAGATAGATAGATAGATAGACAGACAGACAGATAGATAAATAGATAGTTAGACAGGTAGATAGATAGACAGACAGATAGACATATAGATAGATAGGAAGACAGACAGACAGATAGATAGATAGACAGACAGACAGACAGATAGATAGATGCAGGAATGCAAATTTGATCTGACCTTTACTCTGCTTTATACGTCCATATTAAACCACAAAAACTAAATATTTTTAAAATTTCCTACGTTTTAGTTGAAAACTTTCTCAAAGTCTCAAAACTATCATAAAACAATGTTGCAGGCATGAGGCATCATATCCTGAACTATTTAATCCAGCGATCTCCAACTCCTGGAGATCTACCTTCCTCCAGAGTTTAGCTACAACCTGTGTCCAATTAGTTGCCCCGCCCCTTACTTAACTCTAATACATCTGATCCAGCCAATCAGGGACTTGGGAAGAGGTTGATTAGCTGGAGCAGGAGTGGCAAACTGTGGTTGGAACTAAACTCTGCAGCTCTCCAGGACCAGGGTTGGAGTCCACTGATCGAATCAGCAACTTTCTGTAAAGCTGCTTTGTTACGGGAATTAAATTCAGACGTCTGGTTCCGATCACCACCACGGTGAACAATTCTGACCCAATACGTTTCTCCAAAATCGAGCATTTCACACCAAACCACCCTGAAGTGCTTTGCTTATATCTTAACCACCGAGTTCTGCAGATGTTGTGAAAAACTGGTGGAATTCCACCCAAAAGTTAGTACCGAAAACCGCGATATCGGACACCGGTATCGCGATAGGACGGTTTCACACGGTTCCGCCGTTACCTTGTCTGCCCTGCGGTGGGTAGAGGATGGGCTTGTTCCCTCTGGCGGAGGCGTCTTCTGTGAACTCCTGTAAGCTGGTGTAGTTCTCGATGTCCTGCATGTTGGAAAGTCTTTCAGATCAAACTGGATCCAGAAGCTCCGGGTGGCGGTGCTGTAGCTGTCCTCGCGGTGACCGCGTGCGCTCCTGACCTCCACTGACAGTGCGGAGTGAAGACAGACGCTTTTAACTGAAAGCTGAAGATAACTTTCTCCGCCTTTCCTTCCGATTGATCCCCTCTTTATGTCACTCTTTCCTGCCTTTGTTTGCTGTTGGGACCAAACGCGCAGCTATATGTTCAACACAACAACTTTCCTCACGCGCTCCTCGCGCTTACGCACGTCCAAACCGTGCACGCGCACATACAGACATGCGAAGGGGCGTGAACCACGAGAGTGGGGAGGGGGTGAGAGAGAATATAAAAAAATAAAAAGAGAGAGTGTAGAGAGAGGGGGCTAGGGTTGGGTGAGAGAGGGAGAGAGAGCGAAAGAGAGAGAGAGGATAAAGAATGAGAGAAAGAGAGCGAGAGAGAGAGAGAGGATAAGAAAATGAGAGAAAGAGAGAGAGAGAGAGGCCAATGCCAAAAAAACAGCGGAAGAAGCAGTGGGAGAGAGAATATAAGAAAATAAGAGAGAGAGAGTATAAATGAAAAGAGAGAGAGAGAGAGAGAGAGGGGGGGGCAGAGAGAGCAAAGGGGCAAGAGAGAGAGAGAGAGAGGCCACTGCCAAAAACAGGGGGGGAGAGAGAGAGCGAGAGAGAAGAAGAGAGAGAGAGAGAGGGAGGCCACTGCCAAAAACAGGGGGAGAGAGAGAGGGAGAGAGTGGAGGGGCAAGAGAGAAGGAGAGAGAGAGGGAGTGAAAGAGAGAGACAGAGGGAGAGAGAGAGAGAGAGAGAGAGAGAGGCAGAGAGACTGGAGGGCTGAGAGAGAGAGAGAGAGAGAGAGGCAGAAAGAGTGGAGGGCTGAGAGAAAGAGTGAGAGAGAGAAAGAGGCCAATGCCAAACGCAGCAGGAATCTGGAGGAGGCTGGAGCTGGCGGGAAGAGCAGGAGCAGGGAAAGTTCCAGTTGAGCAATAATAAAACTTATTACGAAATGTGAAAATTTCAACACTCTCAAAAACATGAACATCTCAGAACATGATGTCCACATTGATTCAGCGAGTCATTACTTTTATGATACACAGGGGGTACCTACTGTACCCTTCATTTAGCTGACTTTACAAAATCACGCAAACTCACTGCTGCGAAAAAACGAGGTTACTGAACAGGTTCACTCTTAAGTAACTGTACATCTGAGTCACAGTTACTGTCTAATGTGCAGAGATCCACACTGTCAGCTCAAGATCAACTCAAACAGCCCGGTCATTATAACTGGTGTCCACTGAGCTGGCAGAGCTCTGCTTTCACACCTGCTTAATCATGAATTACATTACCTTCTGTTAAGCACCCTTTCTTGGGTTAATGGACTGTTTCGTATGAGTAATTGGAATAGATTAGACTAGAATCAGCCATTTCTGATGACTCATGTTAATGTATGTTTGCTGTTCTGTTAACATTCCTGCCTAAAACCTGAACACAGAACTCCATCATGTTGAGAATAACATGTCCAATGCACACTTCATCTAACATTAAAGTATGTTCTGAAATAAAAAAATAACCGTTAGCAAAGAGAATATATTCACAAATATATATTAATATATTAACCCCTTAAAATCCCAGGCTTATTACATACTAAGGCTTATTGTTCAGTAACTACAGGGACTTCAGTGCAATCTAGTTGAACTATTCTTATGTTATAGAGGTGTGTAATAAAACTTTGGGACCGTCGAGAGTCCCCGGCCATTTAAGGGGTCAACAGAAACCAAGAAACCCGCTGGGAAGAATGCTGGGAAGCCTTTTGGGCAAAACACACTGTAAGATTTATCCAACTTAACTGATCTTAACTAGATTGACATCCGTCACTAAGGTAGATACTAGATTTGTATTAGTAATTTGTATTAGTTCGACTGTTAAGCGAAACTATTATGTTTTCACAATGTAGCCAAACTAAAGTTCATTTCTCCCACAGTTCTGTGAAAAGTCAGAGACCATCCTTCATTTAGTTTACTTCTGACAAACATAAACAATCCTAGATCAGATTAGACCAGCGTGACTTCCCACTGTAACTGTCTCTTCAACAGTCCTTAAAGATTTTATCTTCAAGAGTCACTAAACATCACTGAGCGTGTTTGATTACTTGGATCGTGAGAAGCAGAAAGTACAACCAACTTCTAAGACTTGCTCTCGAAAAACTGAAAGGAGGGCCCAATCCTGTTTAACCCCTCGCCCCTACCACTTAGCCCTTACCCCTCCGTTTTGCGTGTTCATGTTTAGGGGTAGGGTGTCCTGATTGTTGTTGAGATAGAGGGGCAGGGCGAAGTGTTTGGGCCACATGGCCTTCCAAACAGAGGTTTTTCAGAGACACTCCAAACAGAGTGTTATGAGAAAAAAAAAAGAAAAAACGGCAAGATGGCTGAACAGGAGACCAAAGAAACCCACAAATGTGAGAATTTTCTCTGTTAAAAATTATGATAACGACTGTATTGTCTTAGTTTAATGTTGTTTCAGTGTATTATGGTCCTTTTCTTCATAACAAGCAGAAAAAAAACACTACTAGTTTGCTGATGTCGCGGTAGCTGGCTAAATTTTCCCGTTCCACCTTAAATAGTGCAGCAGTTCTGATGCAGGGGTTGCCAGAATGTAACTGCTGCACCATTTAAGGTGGAACGGGAAAATTTCAACGAGAAGCTGGCGAATAGCTGACTTTAGCTTCATATCACTGAAGAATTAGAGGTGGGCGATAATAAATAATTGCCCCCCCCTTTCAAGGTATATGATTCCCTAAACGTAACTAAAGCCCAGCAGTGAGGAGCTGAACTTTACCCTCCTCTGCTATCACTGCAGACTGGCAGGGTCGCCTACAGAGCAGCACTAGTAGCTGTTAATGAAGTAAAGTTCTTCTTTATTTGAGGGTCCCACTTTGTAGGGAAGATTTCAACCACTACCCCTTGTAACTCAGTTCCAAGGGGCAAAGAGACACTCGAAAACAAGGGGTAGGGGTAAAGATAAAAAATGGGATTTGGCATTTTCTCCTGAAAGACATCACAGTGTCACTGATCTAAAGCACCACTCTTATGAAGCACCAACGGCTACTGCAGTGCTAAGGGCGCCCTCTTGTGGAGAATCTTCAGCCCACCTCAAGCCAGGTCCATGAGGCGCTTTGCACCAAATTAAATCACATTTACATTTACAAAGGCTTCTGAACTTTCGGCCTGTAGTGGGTCAACATCTCTGAAATCTCAGAAGGTTTTTCGTTCTTTAGGCCACTGCGAACCACATCTATTTGTTAGACGCCACAAGAACAGGTTACCTTGTGTTCAGTTTGGGTGACTGTGCTTATAGGTCACTGCCGTCAATAGTGGAGCTAAATAAAACAGTGAGATGAGTCTGACCGCTTGCAGGGTAAACATGGACATTGGTTTTAGGCGGTGAAGTGGACCATGGACTCCTGAACTCAATCAGAGAGAGAGAGAGAGATTGAGAGAGAGAGAGCAGAAAACTGTTGGTGACACAGCATTGAGTAGAAACAGTGAGTCAAGTTCTAACCTTGACTCTGCAGCAGGAGAACAACTTGTGAAACGTATCTAGATCAAGCTGGTCTGGTCAAGCATGAGAGCGCACGTTCTAATGTGGGACGCCCCTGGCTGAGACTTCACGCTTTTCTGTTTCCTTCCTTTTTCTTTCTTTTTGGCCTCCACTAAAATGCAAACATCATGTTCCAAGCAGAACACACAGCTGTCTAAATCAGAGCTGTGTTTAAAAGAGCCCAAAACAAACAAGCTGTCCACTACGTCAGGACCTCAGACGCTATGTTTACCTGCAGCCCAATGAATCCTGTAATAATCTGGCCAAATGAAAAACCATTATATAAACACTTAAAGCAGAAGAGGATGGAGGCCCATTCCCACCATGTAGAGGAGAGTTTCAGGCAGCAGTATGTCAAAGAAATGACTTATTTTCTCGAAAAATTGACTTAGTATTGCAACATAATGATCTGATTTGCTTAAAATATGGACTCATCCCAAAATACAGACTTCTTTTCTTATGATTTTGAGATATTATGTGGAAAGAATGAAAGGAAAGTTATGACATTTCAAGAAAGTAAGTAGTTATTTCACAATAACAAGTCATTATTTAATTAAGTACACATAGTAAATCATTTCAACATAGTATGAATTTTCAGAAAGTGAGTCATTATTCTGAGAAAGTAAAGCATTTTGAAATAGTCATTACTTTGACACTGTAAGTCATTTCAACATACTAAGTCAATATTTTGAGAACGTGGGTCATTATTTCAGATGTTTCAGACTTTGAGAGCACAAGTCATTATTTTAAGATAATAAATCAACAATTTGAGAAAGCAAGGTATTATTTTGAGATAAGTCGAAAAATGTGAGAAAGTAAGTCATTATTACAAGATACTAAGTCAAAATCTTGAGATAAGTCATTATTCTGAACCAGTAAGTCAATATCTTGACAAAGCTAGTCATTATTTCAAGATACTAAGTCAATATTTTGAGAAGGTAAGTCATTATTCCGATATACTAAGTCAATATTTTGAGAGAATAAGTAATTATTTCAAAATACTAAGTCGATATTTTGAGAAAGTACATTATTATTTTGAGATAATAAGACAATCATTTGAGAACGTAAGTCATTATTTTGAGATACTAATTCAATATTTTGAGTCATTATTTCAAGGCTGGTTCATTAAAGAAGAATAATAAACATAAATCTGTTCACTTTCACAATCAGGATCTGCATACGCTCCAGGAATGTGCATTTGCATCACAGCGCATAAACATCTTGTTGTTATGGTAACAAGTGATTATATACAGGTGCATAAATTTTGCCTGGATTACATCTATGTGCATGTTAATGGTTATTTTCAGCAGATTGCTAAGTTTACAATACATAAACATCTGGATTGGAGACATACGTAATGGAAACACTGACTACTACTGATGGTTTTTATACCAGTGACCAAATACCCTTATCACACATCACATCCAATGAAGTGACAAACTGTATCTGTACATTATGATAAAAATACACTATATTTGGAAACAGTGTTTTGATAACCCAAAAATGTTTACAGCGCAAAAGACAGTAGTGATTTATATAAATGGCCCATACCACAAAAAACTGAATTTACCTCACTTTTTAAAAATAAGAGCAAGAGATAAAATGTAAACATGATTCAGAACTCCCCAGTCCAGACAGTGTATATATGTAAATGAAGCTATATTTTGAATTCACTCTTTTTGTGATGTAAGAAAAACACATATATTCACCTATTCAGCCTACATCAGTTTAGCCCCGCCCACTCACACTGAAGTTATAAGGAGTGTTTCAGGCCCAACTGCTTTCGAATGAAGCAGCACACAGGGCTCTTAGAACAGAGCTCATTTACATATCGCTGCTGTCAGAACAAAACCTCGTATCTCCAAAATGACAACTTAAAGGAGAAGGAAAAACCGTACTTTACTTTTAATGTCAGTCAATGGAACCAGACGTCTTTCCAAGTCATTTTGGGCCGTTTATTTTGGTCCATTTATCATGAAATTTACACACAATGTAAAGGAGAACAGGCATTTTCAACTTAGGTCAAAAACTGAAAACAGCGAAATATATTTGTCTTAAAGGCACAATAACAAAAACAGCCTGTTTAATTATAGATTAGATTAGATTAGATTAGATAATCCTTTATTAATCCCACAACGGGGAAATATGCGGTGTTACAGCAGCACAGAAGACAGAGCAGCAGGAAATATACAAACAATATATAAAATAGAATAAACAATAAAAGTATAAAGATATATATGTATATGTACAAAGATTACAAGAAAAATATACAAAGTATTACATTTAAATTTAAATTTATAAAGGATAAGGAACAGTTGGAAGATAATCATGTAAATATGAATTATGTTTTTGGCACATAAAACCACACAAACAGTCTAAGTGGACCATGAGAGGAAATAAAATACAAGAAAAATGTAGGGTATGGGCATTTAAAAACAAAAACAAATAAACAGATGAGAAAATACAGTCATACAGTTATAATAGTTGTACAGTTATATCATTGTGTACAGACTAGATGTAAAAATCACAAAGTATATATGAATCATACAAATGCAAATGATTTGCTATGATGCTGGTTCTGAAATAAACTGCATATTTACACCAAGGACTTATTATAGAACTCAAGTGGGCTTTTGAAAAGTAGTCAAGAATTTTAGTGTCAGTTGGAGAACGTCCAGAAAAAGAAGCGAGAACGGAAATGCGTGGGCTTGATTACACAAGACCGATCCAGAGCCCAGACAGACAAAGTGTATCATGTTTGAAAGCACATTCTGTGTGTTAACCTCACTAAAAAGGTTAAAGATAGGCTTCCCACTTAACATTCCTACACAGATGTTCACATGGTACATACAGTACTCAGTGATGTGACTGGAAACAATTGGTTTGTTTCCACAGGCTTACGCAGCGGTTTCTCTCATGATAAAAGGTTCTTAGAGCTTTTGAAGGGTCTTCAAGGGTCGTCGAGAGTGAAAGCCTACAAGGATTCTGATTTCACACTTTATACACCCTCTTAACTAAAAAACACCACATTACACCATAAATAGACCTCTGAACTTGTGTCATTCATGGCTTCAGAGTTTGTGTGGTATCCCAGGTGGTTGCTAGGGTGTTGCATGTGTATATGCATCATGGTGACACCAGGGTATACAAACTTTTGGTCGCGTTTGGTCACGTTCATGCCCATATTTGGAGCTCTGGGTCTGAGCTGGTTTTCTCTATGAGTAATTCAGTAATTCAGAGGATCCAGTGACGTATCAGGCCCTGGTTGTTGCCAGGCAGTTGCTGTGGTGTTCCAGGTGGCTGCTATGGTGTTACTAGATGTTTGCCATTGTATCCCTGGTACAGAAGGCTGTTCCTATGGGGCTCCTGTTGGTTGCTAGGGTGTTACTAGATGTTTGCTATTGTATTCTTAGTGGTTGCCAGGCAGTTGCTGTGGTGTTCCAGGTGGTTGCTAGGATGTTACTAGATGTTTACTATTGTATCCCTGGTAGTTGGCAGGCAGTTAATAGTGTTCCATGTAGTTGCTAGGGTGCTACCAGATGTTCTATTGTATCCCTGGTACAGAAGGCAGTTGCTATGGTGTTCCAGGAGGTTGCTAGGGTGTTACTAGATGTTTTCTATTGTATCCCTAGTAGTAGCAAGGCAGTTGCTATAGTGTTCCAGGCGGCTGTAATGGTGATGCTGTTTGGTTGCTATAGTATGCCACATGGTTGCTAGGGTTTTTTTTAGCAGCTGCTATGGTGTCTCTTGTGCTTGCTATTGTGTTGCTAGATAGTTGTTATGACACTCCAGGAGGTTGCCAGGGTGTTATTAGGTCATCTGTATGGTATCCCAGGTGGTTGCCAGTGCATTGCATGTGTTCTTGCATCATTGTGACCCAAGAAGGTCAAACTTTTGGTCACACTAATTCCTATGGGAACAAATGGTTGCTATGTGGAAACCTTACATCAAATAAAGAAAGCTGGACAGAAAAGGTCCACATCTCACAATCAGACCAAACATTCTGGAGTTGGCTCAGTGTCAATGCCTCAAAAACTGCAGGACAAGTTAGCAGACAAATATCCGACAGAAATTAAGAAGAAAAAGAAGAAGAATATTGGATAACAATAGTGTTGTATTGGTCAGTTTTGTATAGTTGTTGGTTGAGGACCAAACTACTTAAAGATAAATAACAAGAAAGAAGATCTTGTAAAGAAAGTCCCAGGGTTGGGATTTTTTAAGTTATTCAATCATACTAAATATTTTCCACTTAACGACATCAGCCTTTGACACCTTTATAACATCAAAGAGGTGTTTTTGTTGGCTGGCAGCATGAGTCCACGTTGTCGGTTAGGTAGATGTTTGGCAGTGTGGGTTGCGTTGCCAACAGAATGTGAAAACCTATCTTACTTACACTTATATGAGCATATTGTGACAGGGTCGTTGTTTGTTCCATCAAGATAAAGCCCTGGAAAAAGACTAATGGAGCAGGGCAGGTCTGAACTGTAGCCTGTTACAAGAATCAGAGCCATGACGTCAGCATCATAGAAAGAGATCTGCTTTCTCTCACAGTCAAGGTAGAGCCCAATTTTGCTGGGCTTTCCTTTGATCGCAGCAGGAAACTCTTTTCCATCAGAACTGAAGATATATCCTTTGCCCTGCCTGAGGTGGAGATGGATCCCGTTTGATTTTGATGATGCTTTTTGTGGTTCCTTCTCCATCTTAACTCCGACGCTCCAGTCTAACTTCTTTCCCACTTCAATCTCCCAGTAGTGCTGTCCGGTTTGGAAGGTCTCCGTGGAAACGACGCCAGGATTGTAGCCCTTAAAATAGCTGGACTTCCTCTCGGCCTGCCATACGTGTGCACCTCCTGGGGCCACCTTCAGGTAGGAGTCTGCAGGGTCCTTTATGCTCAAACTCTCAGGAACTGAAGCAAAGAGAAGAACAGTGATTAACTGAAGCCACTAATGGACTAGCTTGAGACTAGGGGTGTTTGAAGTGGACTCATGGTTGAGTCAGGGTTTTCTGTGCTTATGTGAACAAGCCAAATGAACCCCTCTAAACAGCCCCAACCAAACTGTTCAATTCCGTTGTAGTTCATTTTGTGATCTGACATGTGACACGTGACATCAGGTGAAAACAGCGGAAAACTTTGAAGAACGCTACCCACTCTCGCACAAGGTGCGAAATACAGGGGATCCTGGGGGTCCGGGACCCCTTAAATGTCTCAAAATCAAAATTCTGGTGATTCTTTGGTATTCTTAACTAGAGCTGCTGCACTGCTCTGCCTCAGGGTGGCGCTGTAGCAAGCTGGTTTACCCAGATGGTACTTCATACCCTAGAAACTGTAACTATACCTCTGAAAAACTTTGCAATATGCCGTATTATATTTGTAGATCTGACAACTTGTCCAGTTTCCCTAGAGTTTGGTGAAAAGAGCGAATTGTTATGTCTAAAGACAAAAGAGATGTGTAAGATCTCAGTTAATGTGTGGCAGAGCACATTATCGAACTAGAAAATTGCACTGTCAAAAGAAAAATTGTTAAACCAAACATTTTATTGTTGTTGAACCACTCTGAGTGACTTTGTTTACATCTCAACAATTTAACTACGCAGTGGAAAAGTTGGTTAAAGAAGAAATGCCAAAAATGAGGGATCTGATTATAAACATACTGGCAGATGAAATTCATGCTACATCTAGACTGATTTTCCCAGGGGCTTGAAACTCTTGAGTCATACGGGGTGAACGTGTGACATTATCCTCAGGAATGCATAACAGTAGTTAAAGGTGCAGTGTGTAAGATTTAGTGGCATCTAGTGGTGAGGTTTGGCACAGTGGGTAGCGCTGTCGCCTCACAGCAAGAAGGGCCTGGGTTCGATTCCCGGCCGGGTGACCAGGGTCATTTCTGTGTGGAGTTAGCATGTTCTCCCCGTGTCTGGGTGGGTTTCCTCCGGGTACTCCGGTTTCCTCCCACAGTCCAAAAACATGCAGTCAGGCCAATTGGATGTGCTAAATTGCCCCTAGGCGTGAATGTGTGGGTCTGTCTGTCTGCCCTGCGATGGACTGGTGACCTGTCCAGGGTGTATCCTGCCTTCCGCCCAATGACAGCTGGGATAGGCTCCAGCACCCCACCGCGACCCAGAAGGATAAGCGGTTTAGATGATGGATGGATAGTGGTGAGGTTGCAGACTGCAACCAACTGAATGCCCCTCCCTCACCCCTCCCTTTCCAAGCAGGTTTTCACATGCACTAGCACTGCCATAGACTGTTGTCGTGCTATCAAATTATGAGATGGCGACTGCCACTTCACACCACCAGGGGGCAGTATAGATTCTACACATCACCCACGGCGATAGGTGTTGGTGTACAATGCCACAAACATTTACCTTGTTTCATAAGACAAAGTAGAAAATCACTTATTGCTCCTTTAATGTAATTTTGTATTCTTTTTTACCAAATTTTTGGAAATTTGTTTCAGATTTTGCAAACTTTTGAATGGAAACACTGCTAAAAGTACCCAAAACAATCACATCATACATACATTTCAAATGCGTTTTGCTCATATCACAACTATGAAGATAAAAGTCTAAAATTATACACATTATTTACTGTGCTACATTATATCTTTATAATATTAACCCAATCTGAGATGGTCAATTCGAAGGCCTTTGGGAATTTCGCAAGGATTTGCTTTCATTAACTATAGAAGTGACAGTTTTACAAGTTCATTTTACTGTTAGTTTTGTTATTGTTCATTTTCTTCTGGCTAAGATTCACTGATCTGAATTACTGTATGATATCTATGCATGTGAGCATTCGATTCACCTGGTTTAACAGCTCCCAGCATCTCCTTCCATACAAAGAACTGCAGGTGAGTCTCGTACGGGCCGAGGAAGAGAGAGTCAGGAATCACATGAAGCCCTTTCACCTTTGATCTGTACCTGCAATAATAGAATTAATAATAATTAAAGCTGAAAAAAAATAACCATTATGACTGAATTTATGTAAAATTATTGAAAGTTCTATTGAAATACTTGATTTCAGTTTCCGTGTTGTCTTTCTGCTTCATCCCCTCTAAAACAGCAAATCCCTTTTCATTCCACCACTGGAAAAGCAGATAAACAATGAGAAAGGAGTGATGTGGTTTATACTCGTCTTTGTTTATAGTACTTACATAACTGGTGCCCAGTGCGAGAAAATAGAGCCGACAAAAAAACTAAATTAATTAACTTAATTTTGTTTCTATAGAAATACCAGGTAGTTGCTATGGTGTTGCTACAAGGTTGCTATGGTGTTCCAGCTTGTTGTTAGAGCACTGCTTGGTGGTTTTTATGTGATTGCTAAAGTGTTGCTTGGCTGTTGCTATAGTATTCCAGGTGGGCATTAAGATGTTGTTATGCTGTTGCTATGGTATTCCAGTTTGCTAGGCCATTGCTATGGTATTCCAGCTGGTTGCTAAGGTGTTGCTAGGCTGTTGCTATGGAAGCCAAAAGGGTTGGTGCTAAGGTGTTGCTAGGTGGCTGCTATGCTATCCCAGGTGGTTGCTAAGGTTTTACTATGCTGTTGCCATGGTATACCATGTTGTTGCTATGCTTTTGCTACAGGGTTGCTATGGTATTCCAGCTTGTTGTAAGGGTGTTGCATGTTGTTTGTTATGTGCTTGCTAAAGTGTTGCTAGGCTGTTGCTATGGTATTCCAGGTGGTTGTTAAGATGTTGTTAGGCTGTTGCTAGGTGGTTGCTAGGGTGTTGCTAGGTTGTTGCTAGGCCATTGCTATTGTATTCCTGTTTGCTAGGCCATTGCTATGGTATTCCAGTTGGTTGCTAAGGTGTTGCAAGGGTGTTGCTATGGAAGCCAAAAGGGTTGGTGCTAACGTGTTGCTAAGCCATTGCTATGCTATCACAGGTGGTTGCTAAGGTTTTACTATGCTGTTGCTATGGTATACCATGTTGTTGCTATGCTTTTGCTATAGGGTTGTTATGGTATTCCAGCTTGTTGTTAGGGTGTTGCATGTTGGTTATGTGCTTGCTAAAGTGTTGCTAGGCTGTTGCTAAGGTATTCCAGGTGGTTGTTAAGATGTTGTTAGGCTGTTGCTAGGTGGTTGCTAGGGTGTTTCTAGGTTGTTGCTAGGCCATTGCTATTGTATTCCTGTTTGCTAGGCCATTGCTATGGTATTCCAGTTGGTTGCTAAGGTGTTGCTAGACTGTTGCTATGGAAGCCAAAAGGGTTGGTGCTAAGGTGTTGCTAAGCCACTGCTATGCTATCACAGGTGGTTGCTAAGGTTTTACTATGCTGTTGCTATGCTTTTTCTACGAGGTTGCTCTGGTATTACAGCTTATTGTTAGAGTGTTGCTTGTTAGTTGTTATATGATTGCTAAAGTGTTGCTAGGCTGTTGATGTGGTATTCCAGGTGGTTGCTAGGGTGTTGCTAGGCCATTGCTATGATATTTCATTTGGTTGCTAAGGTATTGCTAGGCTATTTCAAAAGAGTTGGTACTAAGGTATTGCTAGGCCGTTGCTATGCTATCTCAGGTGGTTGCTAAGGTGTCAGCATACTTGTACCATGGTTGACTGTAAAATAATAAGAAGAAGCCGACTTAACAATGTTGCTGAATTTACCTGTAGAAAGCGGTCAGGTTGACTAATATCCAGCGCAGACTGAAGAATGCACTCTGTCTCTTTTCCTTCCATCAGTTCTTCACTGATTTTGGATGAGTTCCTCCACATAGATTTGACAGCATCCTTCTCCTTGTCCTCCAGTTGCTTCTTTGCCTCTTCTTCTTTCTTCCTCAGGAACTGGTGCAACTCCGCCAAATGGGCAGATGTCTGGGCTGACAGGCGTGTGGATCTCAACTTTGATAAAAAGGGTATAAAATATTTTGGTTTCAGGTTGAGTTTGGTTCCTAGTAGTTAGTGAGTCCCTCTTTGGAAATCTGTTACAACTCTGAGTGAGACACACGGTTTTAAAGAATAATGACTAGTGGTACGTATGTTTCACAAGAAATATGTTGCAGGCAATGTGCTAGTTGCAGTGTGCTAATCATATTATCTGGCATTTATGTTTTGAATTATATCATGAATTCACTTCTTAAATCCATGAAACTGTCTTACCTCAGTTTTAGTGATCTCAGCTGCCTGTTTTTGGGTCATGTCTTCCAGCTCTCTATTCTCTTTGGCCAGGAAGCCTAGCGCACCCTTCACTATTCCCTACAGAACCAAAAGGGAGTGGTAAAAAGTGATACAGTAGAGTCAGTAAAAGTGAAAGATTACAGTCCTTTAAAAATCAGTAATAGTCTAGGATGTTTTTAATCAAAAGTTCAAACTGAAACAGACATTTATTACTACTAAAATGTGAAGAACAGACTTGTGTTCCTGGGCAGAACCTTCCTGCCAAGATTAAAATTGCAATAACACAAGAATAGAAAGCACACCGACGAGAAGTTAAATTATGTTACGGCTAGCTAATTGGACACTTCTACAGAGCAAAACTGGATCAGATATGGGCCCTGACCATTTCACTGGTAGAATGGAAATCAACTCAGATTTTTGTAATTAATGAAATCAAATTAAATATTCGCCCATAACTCTGTGATCAGACTAATTAAGACACTGTTGGCACTCTGTGTGAAATGTTGTGACTCAACACTGTTGTGTTGAGCTGCTAGTGAGCAACGATGGCTGAAAGGGGAGGGATGAGAACCCCCAGCTGTGAAAACAGTTCACACCTCCCTACAAAGACGGCCATGTTGAGATGAAATGGACAGCACAACTGCAGCTTTCTTGACATAAAAAATTGAGTACAAAAAATAACATTTAAACACTATAAAACAATTTTAGAAATATTTGCTGAACTACAAAGTTGAAAACCCAGTTTGTGCCCCATTTTCTAAATCATACATATTTTCACAGAAATCTACTGTATTAAATCAATGTTATTGAAGAAAAATGCATAATTCAACTGTGGGAGCTCAAAAACAAGCAGTATTTTATGGAAATTTATGGAAACATATAATGCTATTGTGGAAATAAAAATATTGTGTGTAGGTGAAGTAAAAGGCCTGATACCATAGTAGACATAACACAGCTTTGTATAACAACCAGCTTGGCAGATTGCTAACATTCAGTAATATTCAGAGGCTTTAATTGTGAAATATTTCCTGCAGAATTCGCTGTAAAACCAAAATATTAAGAAAAAATTGTTGTTACAAGCTTCAATTGTGTGTTGAATGTCTGTTACAAGCTTCAGCGGTGTGCTGGCCAGAGCTATGTAGTATTAAACCTGTTAGCTTGATGCTAGCGCAACATAGGAAAAGAACATGGGGCGCTGAGAGAAATTAGACAAAATAGTCCCCAAAGAAAATTATTGTTTTGGGTTTTATCACTATTTTGCCATTACCACCATTACACATAAAAACTCAGGAGACTAGTGTAGGTTCACTGGTCATTTTGGATAAATAAAATGGCTATATTTGTGCTGTAGACATCACGACACCTGGTTCCTATCACCACCATGTAAAGAAATCAGAGCTTTTTTACAATGAACAATTTCACATTGAATCTGAATGACGTTGTTTACATCTAAACCAGTGAATCATGCAGAAATTTTGAAAAATCTGTGGAATTCACAGTTTAAAGCATGTGTGAACAAGCCTCGCGTACAGTTGTATACAAAAGTGAGGGCACCCCTGGTCAAATTACATGTCTTGATGTCTGCACAACTACTGTTTATTTGCTTAATTTATACATATTGGAAAGAAATAGAAAATAAAATGTGGCCTGTGCTGAAGTTATGGCACATTTTATATTTTATGTTTTTTTTTCCAATATAATTTCCAGTATAACTTTATAGAAAATGAACAGAAATTGTGCTCTAAAACTGCAGAAAAACGCTTTCTGTAGAGGATGTGTTCTCATTTGACTCGGGGTGTTCATACCACTGTGTTTGAGCGGATTTTTACCTTCACTATCTGAGCCGCCTCTTTCACAGGTTTGAACTGGTGGTCCTTGTGCTTCTGCCCATCTCGACACACCACGCATACCAGCTTCTGGTCCGTTTCACAGAAGAGTTTGAGCTTCTCATCGTGTTCAGCACATACCAGCGTGTCCATCAGGCCTGCTGGAGAATCGGTAGGTGAAGTCATGATCCCTTTGGCTTTCTGGACTGTGAGATGCTCCCGTACAGCTTCCGTCACATTCCTGAGCAGCCGGCTGGGCCGCAGGTCTCCAGCTATGTAAGGCTTTTGGCAATCCGGGCAGAAGCTTTGGCCCAGGCTGGCCCGCAGGTGACCTGTAATGCACTGGCGGCAAAAAGAGTGTTCGCAAGACAGACTGACCGGATCAGTGAAATCACCTAAACACAATGAGCACTTGATCTGCCAAGACAGCCGGGAGGCCATTGTAAGTGAAGACGCTGCTGTTCGATAAAGTTCACCTCACACTGCTCCTTCCTTCTTGATTCTGAAACAAACACAACAATGACACTTTTGATGTGTGTTATGTATAGTACTGTACCTCCCAACCTGGCTCAGGTCAAACAGGATCTGCAGCCTACTGAAACAACACACAAGTGAAACTGGCAAATTCAACTTTGAATGTCACTGCTCAGGTTAGCAAACAGCAGAGCTGCTATACTGTTCAATCAATCATTTAATTCCTAACGATGTGATTTGATATTTAAAGCAAAAGCAGTTTTTTGAGTTTCTGAAGCATCTGATCTCTTGGCCCATGAAACATGTCAAATTATCATTTTTTAATTGATTTTTTTTATTTAAAAATTGTTATATATGTGAGTCAGTCTATGTGAAATCACCAATTCAAGCTTGTGTAATAATATCATGAAATATATCAGCATGTGCAATAGTATGTAATTTTAGGCTTGTATCTTTATTAGTCTTTGAGATATAGACTTTACAAAGTGGGCTTTGCCTTAAAAGGTTATTGGGAAAAAGGGAAAAACTTTTTTAATGCCTCATAAATCAGACACCTTTTATACAATATGACAAGTACCCAGTTGCCCAAAGTGTATTGTAATATGAGTAACAAATACCAAAGTTTGAAATAACTAATGTGTTTCAGTATGGAGATATCGAGGGGCAGAGTTGACCTAAACCCTGGAAAAATTCAAATTAAAATATGTTCAGCTGGCCATAACATAGCAAATATGTATCACTGAATCTTTTCTTTTTTGTAGGCTAATACATCTTAATTCAAAGAAAAATCCCCAAGAAGTTCATACATCTAGTATCAACAGTTGAAAAGTTATGACTTATCAAAGTTTGAACCTTTGACCTTTGGGAAGGTGTGACATTTTCTTCATTTTTTAATAGCTCGTAAATCTGACACCTTTAATACTATATGACAAATACCTAGTTGCCAGAAGTATGTTGTAATACAAGTAATAAATACCAAAGTTTGAAATCTGATGTGTTTCAATGTTGTACAGACAGACATAGAGGGCTAAAGTTGCCCTAATACCACCCCTTCTCCAACCAAAATAAATCCAGATTTCAGCTAGCAATAACAAAGCAAATGTGTATCACTGCATCATTTATTTTGGTAATTTAACATATGTTAATTTAAATAAAAGTCATTGAAAATTTCTCAAAAGTTATGACCTCACATAAAATTTTAAACCATTTGTTGTTGGAAAAAAGGTGTAGTGTGCTTATATTGGCTCAAAAATCAGACACCTTTAACACTATGTGACAAATATATAGTGCAGATAAAAGTGTATTGTTTAAAGTTTTGTATAAAGTTTTAATATCTGATTTGTATGATTGTGGAGGTGTAGAGGGTCAATATTGCCCGTTTATCATCTCAAGTGCCTATAAAGTGAATATGCTCAAAAATACTGGGCTTTTCATTGGATCTTGACTATATTGACAGTTGTCAAACAATTCTTGGAATCTTAGTTACATAAGGGTGCCACTAGCCGATGTGAGTTATTTATACTTATGCTCCTCCCCGCCCTGCAAAAACAAGAACTTTAGCCCTCATATAACAGAAAACAGTGTTGACTGTACATTCAAGGGTACAATCACTTAAATGCAGTCAATACACATAATGTATTCTACGAGGGAAGTGTAATAAATGATATATTAAACATGTTAAACTAAAGTAAAGGAATTAAATGATGTACAAGCCACAAAGTGGATGTTTTGTTTCTGTTTTCTGTTTATTCCTGTTTAAGCTACAAGAAGAGCTCCTCTTCCTCCTCTTCTTCCTTCGTTCTATTGGTAAAACTATACATAACTGTGGCCTATATGGCAAATAGGTCCTATACCGTCCAAGTGTATTATTGGAAAAAATGATTCAGCGGCCTAAAATAGTTTGATGATCAAAGCTACCAAGATGTATCCTCATTCCAAAGTCTTTGAAGCACAGAACACTGTAACGTAACAAAAACAAACCAAAAAAAAACTAACCAAACTGGTCCGTCAAAATGTGGAAAAAAGGGCGACATTGTTGTGCAAATGTGAACAATAAGCCAAACCCAACATAGCATTCATAAATTACATTCTAGTTCAGGATTTCTCAACCTAGTCCTCAATCCCACTTTAATTTTAAGCTCTCACTAGATCTACATTCTTCTTTTTGCCTGGCTCAGGTATGTATATATATATATATATATATATATATATATATATATATATATATATATATATATATATAGCTGTTGTCAGAAGAAAACCTTGTATCTCCAAAATGACAACTTACAGGAGAAGGAAAAAACCTACTTTACTTTTAATGTAAGTCAATGGAACCAGACTTTTTTCCAAGTAATCTCGTCCAGATTCTTTTGGTCCTTTCAGCATGAAATTTACAAACCATGTAAAGAACGACAGGCATTTTCTAATTATGTCAAAAACTGAAAAACGACAAAAATGGAGATACGAGTATTTTTTCCGACAGCAGTGATATGTAAATTAAGAGTGATTAGGACAGTTTTTGAATTTCCACCTTGTTTAAGCTTTCTAGCCATGAATTTAAAAAAAATTATCCCAATGCATGATACATTTCAGTAATTCTGAAGATGTTATATATCCATCTGTGATGAAAAGGAGGTTATATCGTGTTCCAAGGAGGCATGGAATAGCCTTTTGTGTAAACTAACCCAACACCTTTGTTTTTTTGTAACATTTGGGTGATTGGGACAGCACATCTCATCATTGATCTAGGCTAGTGTAAGCATATTTATTTCACAATTTAATTCATACTTTGATATAATTTCACGTGCACATTTTCCTTTTCAATTTCATCATTAATGAAGTAATTAAATTAAGACTCCATATTAATTTCTGTTACATTTTATTACTAAATGTTTAAAAATCTGTCCACAATTCATGCAGTATAAAGCTGCCTTTCCTGTTGCTGTCACAAGAATCCCCTCCCCTCTGACTTCCTCCCTTAATCCTCATCCCGCAAATTGAATTGAAGCAAAAAAAACATGCTTCTCTGTGATAGATTAACCCCTTAAAACACAGGGCCTTCCAGCGGGCCTAAAGTTTTATGACACACTAGCTCAGGCCGTTTACACTGAAGTCCCTGTAGGTACTGAATAATTAGATTTAGTATGTAATAAGCCTGGGATTTAAAGGGGTCAATCAGGAGTTGTCAGGAATGGTTTTAGAGGTCAAGGCTAAATGTAGTGTTAGGTTTGGCATGGTTAGTGTATTAGGGTTAACCAGCTGGCTAGGAAAAACAAGTAGCAACATCCGCTAGTCCATGAACATTTTTGTGGTTAATTAGTGGTTCACACAAATGAAAAGGTTGGGAACCACTTATGTAGCACACACAGTGGTTCTCCATGGCCAGGATGATCCTTTTCTTCATTAGCAAAGCCTTTTAGCACTGTCCCAATAACCCAAAACCATGCACCCATGCACTCAAACCATGCTTGGGTGAATAGGACAAAATAAAACAACCTAATTCCAAAAGCACAAACAAGATCTTAACAAATTTGTGGCTGATTTTGTCGTAGTAGTACATTGTATTCATGTTTCCATCACATGCAATTTTGATTATGTGGTTTCACAGCCAGGGATGGGCAAAAACAGTTTTTATTTTCACTCATCAGGCAAGAAAATAAACCCTGTATAGCTATAATGTCCCATTTGACCTTATGTCACCCTTAACTCACCCTATTATTATTTAAATACAGTAAATAAGTTATAATCTGGAACAGTGGACCGAAAAACATACTGGCCACAATCTCATCCTCGGCAAAGGGTTTTTATCGATAATAATATTGTCTTTGAAAGAATGAAAATCACATTAGTTTGATCTAACATCATATTTTGAATGTCTTCCAAGCATTTTGAGACAAAATCACCACTTTTATGAGCCTACATTCCTAATATTAGCGCTTACTTTAGCTAGCTAAAGCTAAAGTAAGCACTAAATACCCCCGAAATACCCCCTCTGATGATGTAGCTTCAAGGAAGGAGGAACTTTTGGAAAACTGGAGTGAATTTTTGCAGTTGGACTATTTTTTTTTCGTTAGCTGGTGAAAGCAAAGGAAGGGTAGACGGCTAATGTTACTGCAAGGAAGCCATTTTACTGCAACCATAGAACTGTAGCAACTTAAATTGTCATTACAGTGGAGAGAAAGAATTACTCAAACAGCAGAAATGATTCAGATGAGGGGGACAAGCTAAGCTAGCTACAGTTAGCAAGGTAGCTCCATGGCTGTGCAGATATTTTACCTCAGTTTGGCTTCTTTTCTCGAGTTAAAGAGTGAAAAATGTGTCTCTGGTGTCCATTTTATGCAGAATAAAGATAAAATTGTTGTTTTCTTTATGATTTCGTTCGACAACTGAGGTAAAATTTACACTAATTCTAGCTTGGTTTTATTCATTAGCCTATAGCTCAGTGGCTAGGCTAGCAGTCCTACAGATTGCAGTGCTGAGAATGATCCACCACCCAAATGATACCTGCTCTGTGGTGGTCCTGACCTTTGAAAAACAAGGTGAAAAGGGGGCTAACAAACAACTACAAAGTGCTCCTATATGGTCAGTGGAGCTGATAAAACGGATAGTGATTGTAGAAACGAGGAATCAGTTGACGAATACAGACCACAGATGACCAGTTATTCAGTTTAGCTAGCATATTATACTGTGTAGCAGCACACTGATAGTGGGCTGCTGTTTGTCCCTCTCAGATAAGGCCCTGGCCACAGACTGACTGACCACGGCCACTGAAAGCTACATGTAAACTTGTGTATGAGGCTCATGTTATCAGCATTATAGAAGTGGACCTCATTTCTTTCACAGTCCAGATATAACCCTATCTTCCTGGGTCTTGTGTTGATATCTGTTAATATGGGTGTCTCGATATCATTGCAGTTGAGGACGTAGCCCTGGTCATGCTTGAGCCGTAGGTGGACCTTTGAGATACAATGTTTCCATCCCGTAAGTCTGGCCAGTAAATTTGCTCCCTCCATCCTCTTCTCTACACCCACAGTCCAGTCAGGCTTTTGCCCCACCTCTAGCTCCCAGTAGTGCTGGCCTGTTGTGAATGTTTCCTCAGCACTGACCGTCTCATTGCTGTAAATGTCTTCATGGTCATGAAGGTCAATGTCCCTCTGCCGGACACTGAGTCCATCAGGAGAAACAATCAGAGGTGTGCGTGGGCTTATGGTAAAGCATTCAGCAACTGGAAGGCAAGAATAGTTTCTCTGACACTGGCTCAATAGCTCAGCACACCATACTGTAAATATATTCAAGGGGAATTCCACCAATTTAAAAAAATTCTGACTAATTTGATGTTTAACCAGGACATAATGCTGTGCTACAGAATATTACATGGCACATCAAATAACATATTGTATGTTAGTTTTAGAGTTAGTTTTAGACTTTTAAAGTAGCCCAATTCACTAACTAAAAGGGGTGTCTGGATAACTTTGGGCATGCAGTGTATGTTTTCAGACATGCTAAACCATCAGTACCATAGCCTCCGTCCAGCTCCTTACACCTTGAACCAATTTTTTAAACCACATTTTTTAGAATTCTTTAGATTATTATGAATATTGACCTCCTAAAGTTTCTCAAAGGGGACTTCCACAGATATTTCAAAATTCCTGCATAATTAAATGGTTAAGGTGCAAACAGAGGCATTCAGAGTGGTTTGGTGTGAAATGAGAAATAGAGAAACTTGCCAAGTCAGAATTGCTCACAGTGGTGGTGATAGAAACCAGACGTCCACCTCTCAAAGCTCCCTCACAGAAAATTATTACATTAAACAGTTATGATTACACTGTGATGCCAGAGACATTAATTTTACAATAGTTTTGAGAGGATTGTGGTCCAAAATGTATTTTTTTAAATGCGTACATGGTGGAGAGGTACCTGCAGGGTGTTATAAGGTAATGTAGTCCCCAAACAAAACTTTTTTTTTCGTATTTTCCACTCTTTTAGCATTATCAACTTTATATCCAAAAACTTAGATGACACATGTAGGTTAAATGGTGAAAAAATAAATGAGATGGTTATATTTGTGTTGTAAACATTTCAACCCCTGGTTCCATTCACCACCACTGTAAAGAAATTTGAGTCTGCAAGTTTCTTCACAATGAGCCACTTAATATCGAACTGCTATCAATGACTTTGTTTACATATTAACCACTGAATTATGCAGAAATTTTAGAAAATCGCTAGAATTCTACTTTATTCCTCATTAGACACAAGACAGAGTGAAGCTTTATGAGAAACGCTTAGAAATTGTATACAGTGAGGTTAGAATGCAATGTTTGGATGTTACCTATTGGCTTTCTGTACACGTGTGAAATCTGTATCTCCCAGATATACCTGGCTTGATAGACTTCAGCATCTCTTTCCACACAAAGAACTGCAAGTGGCTCTCATAGGGGCCGAGAGAGAGCGAGTCGGGTATTACCATGAAATTCGTGTCCTTTAACAGGAGTGTGTCATCCTCCTCTCCCAAGAACCTGAACAAAACAGCAGGCATCTCTAGTGAAAGCTGAAGCTAGACGTTCAACACATACAGAAGATATTGTTAGGGTGGCTACTCACAGAGTCTCTTTCTTCTGAATGTTTTCTGTAATGGAAAGACCTTTTTCATTCCACCACTGTAAAATAAAACAGTCATTTAGTCAATAGGCAGGTTTCCATCTGAGGCCAAGACTTGATCCCATTTCTTATTTTTAACACTACCCCTTGTTCGAGTGTACGACAGCGTTTTAGGGCCACTGTTAATAAAAATAAAAAGGATAAAGTCCCTCCTCATGTTAAAAGAGGGGTGTTGAGTTGGTGGAGTTCTACTTTCATATCGATTCACCCATAAAGAAACACTCAGTCTCCCTGTCTCTCCTGCTCATCAGCACCAGCCTGTTATTAGTATAAGAACCGACTGAAACGGCTGAGCAGGAAACTGTGTTTATCTAGAATAAAGAGCCAGACGGACTCGGAGGAAACTGTCTGTCTGTGTTGTTGAAGGAGAATCACAGGCAGGGTCGTCTACACGGCTATCGGGGGCTACATCTCCCCCCATTCAAACAGGGCATGAAGTTTCACAGACAGTGAGAATGATGATCAAAATGATCCACAGAGAGACAGGAGTGAGTGGAACTCCGGTGCCAGTACAGCAACCGAGACCCCAACACGTTATGGCAGCCCCCCTACAGTACAGCAGCCCACTTTATCCTCCAAATATTATGTCTTTTTTCTCGAAATATTACGACTTTATTCTCTTAGGCTGTTGGTTTTGGATAGTAAATAAAATATCTACATGTGTGTTGTAGACATTGTGACCCCTGATTCCTATCAGCACCACTGTAAAGAAATTACATAAATATTTTTTACAAAAACATTTTAACTCCAATTTAGTCATTAAATATTCTGTCTAGCTCTCACTTTGTCACATGATTCTCACATGCTGGGAGGGTGAAGGCTAGCACAGTTTCCCTGGGGGACAGGGAAGGCCATCACCCATCCATACAGAGTGGGGCAATTATAATCCTTTGGACTCCCATTTACGGATGGCTGTGGCATCACCAGGGATCAAACTTGGCAATCAAAGGGCCAATACAACACGATTCAGAAAAGCATTACTTCATTTTTTACATTTTTAGAGGCAAACTGAGCTAGACCTTCATTTCAGGCCAAAACGAGGAAAAACAAGTCTACGATAATGCTAATTTTTGCTAGCCCCTCTAGGGGATATTAGTAGACTGTTTGTGCTAAACTAGCAGTGGTTTAAAGGATTTTTAGGCCGTTCTATATTAAATGCACACAGTTGAAGTTTCTAAAAGATATTCCATGCTTTATATTAATCTTGTAACATACATATTAACAGGTTTTACCTTGTAGCAGTTTTACAGTGACTCTTTCAGTAAAGAGTGCTAGCATAGAGCTGCTGCTGCCCTTTTCCAGTGCATTGATCAGGCTAACACTTATATTCACAAAAGTGATTGTTTGAATATGTGTTAATGGTCAATCTGACATGTTAGGCCTTCAGTCAAGCTCCTGAAGGCCTAACCAATGGGAGAGCTACCTTGGCTGTATCTTCTTAGATTCCACTATCCAGATTAAATCATTTTCTGCAGGGCGCATGAGGTGTTTAACTGCAAAACCTGATAATTAAATAACAGTATTACTACAATACTTGCAGAGTTTAAATAAAAAACATAATAATTAATGAAATTATTAAATAATTAGGCCTTCTATGCTAATCTCTGTGAAGCTGCTATTGGTGATAACACATGTTTATACAGCATATTTGAGGAAATGCAAAATTAGTGTAGCCAACCTTCAGAAATATTTCAGGCTGATTAATGTTAAGGGCTGATTTTAGAATGTCTTGGTCTCTTTTCCCTTCCTTTAGTAACGTTTCTATCATAGTCTTCTTTTCTTCCATTGGTTCCAAACATCTTTTCTCCTCCATTTCCAGCTGCTTCTTTATCTCTTCTTCCTTCTTTCTCAGGAAGTGATGCAGCTCCTCGAACTGAGAAGATATCTGGCCTGACAGGAGGTTCGATTTCACCTGTAGTTTTAAAATGATTATATTATTAGGGCATACACTGCAAAAATGGTATCTTGTCAAGTAAAATTACATTAAAAATACTCAATAAATCAAATATTTCTCCTGTTGAGATTGTTGTAAGCTTAATTCAAGATTATATACTTTATTTCTAGACATTATTACTTGTTTTAAGCAATTTTATTAAATAAAATGATCTCACCATAGACAATTTTGCTTGTTTTCAGAAGCCAGCAAAATTATCTGCCAGTATAGTGAGATAATTGTCCTTGATAAAATAACCTAAAACGAGCAAATAGTGTCTAGAAATAAGCTGGTTGATCTTATAATAAGAGCACAGCCATCTCAAAATGGGAAATATTAGACATATCGACTAGATTTGCGATCATTTCACTTGACAAGAGACCATTTTTTTGCAGTGTAGAGTTCATAAGCTTCTGAAAAAAAATAACAATGAATTTCATGTTGTTCACCAAATAGAACTTGACTTTACCTTGGATTTTTCTATCTCTGCCGTTTGCTCTTTGACTAAGTCATTCAGTTCTCTGTATTCTGTGGACAGGATTTCCAGCGCTCTCTTTACATCGTCCTGAGTGAGAAGATTTAAGAGCTCTAAGACCAAAATAAACAATCATGCTCAAAATCTCATTTGACTGCTCTACTTCACCAGACCAGCCACTTTATCAGAAACACCTACCTTGTTGCTACACCTTGGTCCTTAATTAGAGACTGTAGCTCATCTGTTGATGCACTGCTAGTGTTAGCCATCCTCTAGTCCTGGGGTTCACAACTCCAGTCCTGGAGGGCCAGTGTCCAGCACAGTTTGGTGATTTACCTGCACCTGATTACACTTATCTGTTAATTGCTCGGTTAAGTGGGTGTGTTTGAGTAGAGGAACCTCCAAACTGTGCTGGACACCAGCCCTCCACCTGGAGTTGTGCGCCCCTGTTCCCTTCATCAATGGTCAGTTTCTGACCAAAGAGCGGCTCTTGGCTCATTTTTTCGGGTGGTTGACTCTCAGCAACACTGCTGCATGTAATACACTCATACCACAACACACACTACCATGTCAGTGTCACTGACTGCTGAGAATGGACCACCTCCCAAATAATATCTGGACAAGTGATGTCTTATGGTCAGAAAGTAAACCAATGATGAATGGAGTAGAGAGGGAGCTGATAAACTGTGCAGCAAGAAATAGGCCACAGTCTGTAACTGTAAAGCATGTGGACCTGGCTTTGAAGCATTCTCACTCACTCATGTTTAGCAGTCTGAGGGTTCGCCAGCAGTGGGGGCTACTAGCATGCAAGTTGCTTTTGTGTGCACAATTCAAAGAGAAGGAACAGTCTGTAGTTGTCCGCCTACATAGTGAGCCTATAAAGTAGGTGCTCATAAAGTGGCCACTAAGTGGAACTACAAAGCAGTTGTTTCTTATATAGTGGATGATGAGTAGAATATCGTCGCCTTGGAATTAGAAGGTTCTATCAGGCATTTTTGTCAAAAGTTAATTATTCACATATTCTTGTTCTGTGACAAATTCTTAGCATTATGTGAGATTTTTTTTATGTTGTCTGCATTTCTAGGGAATGCAAAAAAGGTTCTATCTCCAAAGTCAAACTCATTGTTCTATAAGGTTCTGTCTGCGAGCCAGTCAGCACTCCGAAAACACACAATCATGTTCTGCTTCTTTGTCATGTCGCTGCACTGCTCAGTGCCTGTGGGACAAGTTTATAAAACTTTATGAAACATGAAAACGTGTTTCTGAAACTCTGCCTGTCTTCTTGCGGTTCTTTATGAAATCTTATTGTCTTAAAATGTATAAAAATTAAGCCTTAAAGTTCATTAAATAGTATGCCTTTGAATTGATGGGCTCTTAATTACAACATATACATTTCACTCTTTCATCCATCTTTTCTTTTTTTTTCTTTTTCTTTTCTCCCAAAATAAGACATTTTGGTGCACTAGTGTCTGATTTCTGATGTAGAACAAAACCTCATGCTGCCTTTATACTGACCTGCCACACTTACTTGGGACAGTTTATTGGAGTAGCTGTTGCTGCCAAACCTAAAGGAAACTTAAACTAATGGTTTCTACCTAATCTGACCTCTGCACTGGACATAATATTTAGCACTGAACTTTATACTTATATAAATGTAATATTTTATTCCCTTTTACTGTTAAAACAATAGACTATTACAGTGCATTGACAAGCCACTCTTTCCTGGGGGTTTCCCACCATGTGATATATCATCTGAGGGAAATCTGAAGCGTATTCCATACAGCTTAGGTGTTCATATGAGTTGTGAACTTACAATATAATACTTTGTGGCATGTTTGTCGTCTGTTAAACAAGCGCTGAAACATGTTTCACCAAAAGATGTCGAGTTACTCAATATTATACTATTTCATATGTGCTTTTCATTAAATCAGTCAATACTAGAAACATACAAGCTAAAGATAGCATAGAGAGTAAGTCTACTCCTTACCTTCTTAGTGCTGACCACCTCTTTAACAGGTTTGTACTGGTGCCCCTGATGTTTGGTTCCATCTCTACAGATCACGCACATTAGTGTCTGGTCAGTCTCACAAAACAGCCTCAGCTTCTCATCATGCTCAGCGCAGACAAGACCAGAAGTGTTGAGGTCCGTGTTCTGGACCGCTGTACTTTGTTTTTCCTTCAGATGATCTTGGATGGCTTCAATCACGTTCCTCAGCAGCCGGCTGGGCCGCAGATCGTCCTTGGTGAACTGCTGTCTGCACTCAGGACATGAGCTTTGACCGCTGCACGCCTGCAGGTGACCCAAGATACACAGCCTGCAGAAGGAATGCTCGCATGGTAGACTGACTGGGTCAGTGAAGTCACACAAACAGATGGCACACTGGATCTGCTCATACAAAGCGGACGCCATTTTAGCTTTCTAGAGTTCTGAAAGTGAGGTCTGTATCACAGAGAAGCGTCTTTATTTAGAAAGAGCGGGTGTGGCACAAAAACAGAACTGGCGCAAAAAGCAGCTTGACTGGTACATTAAACATCCTGTTATGATCAACTGTAAGGAACAGCAATAATTTTACCAGGACAATATGACCCGATGCATGTTTAGCCATCCAAGAGTAGGTAAAAAATACATTTTTTCCATAAACGTTATCTTTACCTCAATTCATGTTAATTTAATCAATATTTAGTGTTACCAAACAGATTTTAAGGTTTACTTATAATAATTCATTTGTTTTCATAACATAACATTATGACCACCTCCTTGTTTCTACGCTCATTGTCCATTTTATCAGCTCCACTTACTATATAGGTGCACTTTGTAGTTCTACAGTTACAGACTGTAGTCCATCTGTTTCTCTGTGTACTTTGTTAGCCCCCTTTTACCGTGTTCTTCAGTGGTCAGGACCCCCATGGACCCTCACAGAGCAGGTACTATTTGGGTAGATGGATCATTCTCAGCACTGCAGTAACACTGACGTGGTGGTGGTGTGTTAGCGTGTGTTGTGCTGGTCTGAGTAGATCAGACACAGCAGTGCTGCTGGAGTTTTTAAACACCTCAGTGTCACTGCTGGACTGAGAATAGTCCACCAACCAAAAATATCCAGCCAACAGCGTCCTGTGGGCAGCGTCCTGTGACCACTGATGAAGGACTAGAGGATGACCATCACAAACTGTGCAGCAGCAGATGAGCTATCGTCTCTGATTTTACATCTGCAAGGTGGACTGACAAGGTAGGAGTGTCTAATAGAGTGGACAGTGAGTGGACACAGTGTTTAAAAACTCCAGCAGCACTGCTGTGTCTGATCTACTCAGACCAGCACAACACACACTAACACACCACCAACACGTCAGTGTTACTGCAGTGCTGAGAATGATCCACCACCCAAATAGTACCTGCTCTGTGAGGGTCCAAGGGGGTCCTGACCACTGAAGAACAGGGTAAAAGGGGGCTAACAAAGTATGCAGAGAAACAGATGGACTACAGTCTGTAACTGTAGAACTACAAAGTGCACCTATATAGTAAGTGGAGCTGATAAAATGGACAGCGAGCGTAGAAACAAGGAGGTAGTCATAATGTTATGCCTGATCGGTGTATATATATATATATATAGCGTATATTTCTTTGTGTCTGTTCTTGGTGTCGTGCTGCATACTAGCCCCATAGTCTCTAGTCTAGTCTAGCTTTGCCTTTGTTCAGTTGATTATTATGTCTGGTTTGATTCCTAGTGTGTCTCTTAGTGCCTTTTGTTTTGTCTGTAGCTTTCCCTTGTTTGTGTATAAGTAGTTTCTGTGCTTATAGTTCCTGCCTGTTTTTTTTGACCCCTGCCATGGACACCGACCACGATTCTCTAATCTACCCAAACAAACAGACACACTTGCATCCTGCTCCATCCTTCGATTGTTACCGAGGCATGTGGAACCCTCGTCACCTTAACGACACCCCAAACACGCATCTAACATTAGAAAATGGGAAAAATGCGGAACTGAAAGTTCATGAAGGTCAAATGAGAAGCTGTGATGCAGGAAAAAGATGAAGCCACACCTGCAGACATGAATCAGGCAACAGCTGGGACAGGAATCATTCGGCCTTCAGTTCCATTCATCAGTGTTTCTTCAAATGAGGTCAAGTTATGATTTTCAGTGAACGCTGTTTCATTTTCAAGCATTTATTTAAGTATTTATTCAGCTCCTCTTCAGATGCAGCTATTCACTGTAAAAATTTAAAGTCAACTTAAAATGATGAAGCAGCAGATTTCACTGCTATTTCGAGTTTTTTTTGTCAAAAACTCACTTTTTTAGTTCTGCATCTCAGAGACATGATCTTGTAAGTCGTGGCCACAACTTAATTATCTCATTCCAACATCTTACTAAGTCATGGCTATGCATTAGGATCTCGTTCCCATGCCTTACTAAGTCATGGCCCTGACTTAATTATCTCGTTCCTACGCCTTACTCAGTTGTGGCCGTGACTTAAGTATCTCATTTCCATGCCTTACTACGTCATGGCCATGCATTACGATCTTGTTCCCCCGCCTTACTAAGTCCTGGCCACACATTAGGATCTCGTTCTCACTAAAACGTGGCCACTCATTAGGATCTCGTTCTCACACTTTACTAAGTTGTGGCCACATATTAGGATCTCATTCCCATGCCTTCCTTAGTCATGGCCACAACTTAATTATCTCATTCCCACACCTTAGTAAGTCATGGCCATGCATTAGGATCTCATTCGCCGTACTAAGACTTGGGCACTCATTAGGATCTCATTCCTACGTCTTACTAAGTCGTGTCCACGATTTAATCATCTCATTCCTATGCCTTATTAAGTTGTTATTAATAATTATTGTTATTGTAATTATTGTTATTTATATGTGATGTCACCAGCAGAGCTCCGTATTAAATAAATAATAAAATATTCATAAAATGCCGTCCCACATTTTCATGTCCCTCCCGAAACTCAGAGTCCATAGACGGAGCCTTATTTTAGCCAAACCCCTGCATTTTAGAGCAGGAAGTGAAACTGATGACTATGCTTAAAATGAGCAGGGGTTAAACCAACTGTGAAGCTTTGATAACCAAACCATAAACATCAAACAAAATCCAGAGGGAAAATACACAGATCAAAAGAACAATCAAATATAGACCAGTTAGGCTTGAAGGCAACAACACAAACAAGCAGAGAGCTGCTGAGCAGAGGCCTTTAAAAAGGCTACTAATGACACCCATTAATGTCAAAACTGTGGTGAGAGAGACCTCTGGTGGTGAGGAGGGGAATCCCCTGGGGCAACAGTGACGGTCCCAAAGTTTCAAAATCAGCGTGTAACATTAAAAATTGTCACTACCGAAACACATATTTTCTGCAAGAAAAGTTGTAATGAAAAATATTACGATTATTTGTGTGTAAAGCTGTTCAAAGCTGTGTTTGTTTGTCATGTACTGGCAAGCGCTAAAATTGTCACTACTGAAACAGTCACCAATGAAACATGTGGGGAAAGTTATGATTGTTTTGTAAGTGACAAAATAGAACATTCAATCATTTGCTTTAATAAAACAAGCATGATTGAGTCACTAGTCACTCAGTCAATCAAAGCAAAAGGATTTTAATCTGAAGTCTAAGTTAAAATGTTAAAAAGTCTGATGTGTTTTTAACTCTGAGTTTGAACTAGTTTGGTTGAATGACCCATAAAATTTATAATGTGTTTTTGCATTGTGTGCATTATATTATTACAGCTGCACCACTTTACAAAATCACTACCTTTATAAAGGGGTCTATTAGTTTATTAATTCATTACTAATTAGGTCATGAATATTTTAAAAATCATTAATAAGCAGTTATAACACAAAAATAAAAAGGGCAACAGTGACTTGTTACTTGCCAAATAGTGATCCCAGATTGATCTACACTGTTAATCAGATCTAGCTGATGCAGTATTGCTTACCTGTTGTAGACCTTAGAAGGTGACTGTATTAATTTCATATGTTAATGTAGGCCAAATTATCATTTTTGACTAATAAGACATGCTGTTGGAGGTTAAATGATAGTAACTTGAAAAATATGTGACAGGTTCAATGCTGACTGATGGAGAAGACAAAGGCCTGATCCCATTTCTTATTTTTACCCCTACCCCTTGTTTTTGAATGTCACCTTGCCCCTTGGAATTTAGCTAGCTAGCTACCGAGACATCAGCACACTACTAGCAATTTAGTATGCTTGATATGAAGAAAAGGACCAAAATACACCGAAACAACATTAAGAAAATACACTGATTATAATTTCTGAATGGAGAAAAGGCTCTGGTTCTGACCCACAGCAGTCACTCCTCCTCTTAGTTCCTCCTCAGAAGGGAAATGGAAACTTTATAGTGGAAGTTTCAGTTACTAAAAGCAGGAGAAGCAGATTTTACTTGCTGTCGTGAAGAACGGAGAAGAAGGAGAAGGGAAGGGAAGGGGGGATAATAGAGAAAGGAAGTCTTTTTTATAGTAAAAAAAAAGTGCTGCTGCCATCGTTTAACTGTTACTCATCATTCTGTGTTATTTGGCATTGAAACTTTTAATCCAAAGATATGAGCTGACAGTCATAAGGCCCATCTCATGAGAATAACTGGAGCTTCTCATTTGAGGATCATCTAGAGCAGTGGTTCTCAAACTAGTCCTCCGGACCCTCAAGTGGCCCAAATCTTTCCTCTATCCCAGCTCCCAAAACCCCTGATCCAAGCCGTTAAGTTCAATGACTACCTAGTTGAGTTGGGACCAGAGAGCAAAAATGGGATTCACTGTGTTAGCACTAGGTTAGCAATGGTGGACATTCATGTTTTATGCCATTTATTCCTAAATTAGCTCTAGCTTAAACATGGGCAACTCACAACCAGCATTCAGCTTCAGTAAAGACCAAAACTAAAAGCCTGTAAAGAATTACTGGAGGAGCCTGTTAGCCTGTTAGCAATCTGCTGCTGTTCAGCAAAGTCCAACGAGAACAGAACATGTTCCAGTTCCAACAGTCCATTGTACACACAGCCTAAGTGTTAAAGCTACACCATGTCAGTTTTGGAGATTTGGAGACCTCTCTGGTGGAAATGTGCAATTGCATTCAATGTGTTGAAGAACATTTTTTAATGTGGTTTGTGTTTCGGACCCCTTCCCCGAGCGGATGAATCTGATGTTTGCGAGCAGATTGAAAGAGAATTCAAAGAGAACTCAGCCAAAACTCAGCATGTCTTCTGAGAATGTGAGTATTTTTTTTCCTCCTGACTCAATAATGCTGCCTCTTTCAATTTTAACAAAAATATCTTACATAATGCAGATTTTTTGAGTTGTAAATAACAAAAGAACACAAGCAGTGCATCTCGATCAGTTCCAATAAATACAGGTCTATCTATCCTCCTAGCATTGTCATAATTATATCAGTACCATATATATATATATATATATATATATATATATATATATACCATGTGCATACATAATCATCCATATTCATCTCCACATATTCCCATACAATGACAAGTAAGCATACAGATGCATCTAATCTAATCAATGTTAAAGTGAATTTCCCCAGCAGGTGACCATATCTTCGCAAAATCTGCATTTTTCTCCAACTTACATTAGCCATAATTCTTACTACGGGAGTATTTGGTAGATTTCTCTGTGCTATTGTGTGACAGTGGGTGGTCTATCATGTATCCAGTGCTTCAGAATCCATCTCCTGACCAGCAGAAGTAGTTTATCACAGTTTAAATTTGATTCAATTAAATGATGTATCTCTAAGTAGCAAACTAAGAATAAAGAAGCCTGGGTCTTGAACCCATCACCAGCTTAGGCGTTCTTGTGAGATGGGCAGCTTGAAGTTCTTACATTTATTTTTCCCAGCAGCCAAATCCAGGATCACTTTAAAGCGGACCAGGACCCCACATCTGGGGTTCTAACCAAACAAGGGGGATTTGAATATGCCCTATAAGAACAGACACATACGAACTTTAAAAAAAATCCTGGCTTGTTTAACTTTCCAAAACAGCAGCTCAAATGCCATTCTGAGGTCCAGAACTGTAAGAAGTTCAGCTGTGACACCACGTGGCCACTAGAGGGTGACAACTGATTAGAGCCTAGTCACCGACACCACCGCCATTCCCCTGTAACAGACTTATCTCAGCTGTTCAGTCTTGAGTTTGCACTTTACATGATTGATCTCAAGTCTAAGCCTGAATTCTTAGACAGAAGTGATTTCTTATATGAAGCTTAATGCTGTATTTATCTTTTAAGGCTCTGCGCTTGGGTTCAGAGGCCCCAGTCAGGATTTGTGGATCACTAGTTGGTGGGCTCTTATTGTATATCTTTCAAATTTTATATTATTCAGTATTCCTATCTTATACCCAGCTTTATCTGTATGGATGTCTGTGTGAGATTTCTATTATCAACAACTGGGGTTTAAGTTAATGTGTAATCAAAGACAAACACACTTGGTCATATTCTAGAACACACATGGACATTATTCTAGATAATTCCCCCAAGATCTGTGTTTGATCCCCTTTCCAGAACACGTATCACCAACACTGCAAACAATTCTGACTGTTTCTCTAGAACAGAGCATTTCACACAAACCCACTCTGAATGACTCTGTTTACCAGCGTCTTTGCCTTTAGGGGCAGTCATGGGCTGGAGGTTAGAGAACCAGCCCTGTGACCGGAAGGTTGCTGGCTCGATCCCCTGAGCCAACAAGACGTGACTGAAGTGCCCTTGAGCAAGGCACCTAACCCCAACTGCTCCCTGGGTGCTGCGGATAGGGATGCCCACCGCTCCCGGGCAAGCATGCTCACTGCACCCTAGTGTGTGTGCATAGTGTGTATGGTGTGTTTCACTGCACGGATGGGTTAAATGCGGAGGTGAAATGTGCATGAGACACTGTTCACTGTCCACAACAGGGGACTAATAAGGGTCACCTAATCTTAACGATTTACTTATTCACAAATTTAGAAAAAAATTGTGGAATTCCCCTGTAATCATTTCTTGAAGCTTTTAAGTCATAAGCTGCAGGAATTCACCAGGACTCCAAAAGGATCTCACTATTTTGGCTGTGACCAAACTCAAACGGCCAGCTGGAGCTTCTGGCTTCAGAGCAGAAAAGCTTTCAGTCCAAAGTCTTCTCAGTGCAAAGCTACAACCCTTATCAATAGAAATCCACACAAGAGCCAAATTAAACTCAGCCCAGCTTGGCAGATCTTCCATTTTCTTTATTTATGGAAAAACAATGCAATGCCCTGAGTTTCTATCTACATTACAGTGCAGTAATTCAGGCTATTTTAATGGCGTCCATCTCACAGATGCGTTTGTAAAGGAAGTCGCAGGGCACGTCGAACCAGGTTTTAGACTGGGACTGCAGCACGACACAGTCTTCACCCTGAGGTCCTCCAGACTCATCATTGTTAGGCTCTTTGGGAGTTTCACTCCAGTACCTACAGGGGGCGACAGTGAGACCAGTGAGACCAGTCCAAAAACTAGTTGGTAGTTGGATATGATTTTTGTTTTAGACAAAAAAAAAGCTCTGATTTGTGGTAAAACGGATTTAATAAGAATTTAATTTGGAACCCTGGATTTCAGATATGAAAAATACTGTTTATGAACCAAAATTATAATTCAGCGTCTAAACCCTAATTCTGTGAGAATGAACAGGAACTACATATCTTTCACTGATGAACCACATTTTTAAACAGCTGATGTTTTCATTATGTGCATGAGACACTGTTCATTTTATGTTTTCATATTAATTCCCATTTCTAATCCTTGTAATAAACATTTGTTCGTGTGGTCTTACGTTTTGTCGACCAGTGTGTTGTCCACCCATTTCCACACTCCTTCTTCTTCAGAGTCGGACAGGCCGATCCAGAAATGATAGTCTAACCCACCGATATCGTGAGCAACTTTCTCCAGACGATCCTATAACAAAATTATAAAAAATGTTCAGTGAAAAATCTTAATTTACATAATTCCCCCAACCCAAATATTCAGTGAGCCAAGAAATGTTTACAGTGTGAAGTTTGCTTTGACCGAAGTGTCCGAACCCACATAAGCAAGTCTATTGGAGATCACTAAACAACTCATCATGGTCTGAGCATATGTGACGATTTATGTCTGCAGTTAGCACAATGCTAATCTGGTGGCTATACGCTTCCATTACTTCTTAGCTACATTAGCCTCGTAGCTCCAGAGTACAAATAAACTTCAGACACCAAACATGCCTTGAATGATCGACTACATTTGGGGTAAGAAGGGAAAAAAACAAACAGTTAGAATCGTACAATAAATCTCCTGCACATGAAATGCAAACATTATTACCTTTGAACTGTACTGTGCAAAAGTCAGAGACCCTTCATTTGTTTAATTCCTGTCAAAATGACCATTAAGTACCATTTCAGTACATTCATTTTTCAAAAGATATTTCTGAGATAGTCCACTTACATTAGGAAGGAGAAAGTCAACAGTAAATAAGTGAAAAAAGAGGGGTTTTTAAAACTTTAGTTCAAAAAATGGGTTTTGAAAAGAAATTGGGCCTCCTAACAACAACCTGGAAGACCTGGTCGACACCAAAACTGCCCCCATCAGATAAACAGCACTTAAAGCTTTCATCTCTGAGAGAGAGGAGAAAATCAAGCTGCTTCAGATCTGAAAACATCCACAGGTGTTTCTGTCCATCCTTCCACTGTGAGAAGATGACTCAGCGCTATGGGTCTGAAAGGATGTGTATCTGTCAAGAAGAACCTCACTGAGAAAAGGAGACGGACAAAGAAGCAAAGAAGCTGAACAATGGACTGACCACCCCAGAGTCCAGACCTCAACATCACTGAATGTGTTTGTGGATTGCACAAAGCAGAACATGCAACCAACTTCTAAGACTGAACTACAGATTTCTTTGAAAAACTTTTTTCTCGTGCTGAAAAATCAACAACTTGTACTTACAGGCCATTTTGCACAGTGAGTGTTGCACAGTACTGTATAGCTACTCGCAGTTACAATAAATAATTGGCTATAAATAAATAATGAGAGGCTATTATTTATTATTTGATAACTTATTGTTCCTAAAATGCTTGAAATACTGAATAAAACATCTAAAAATACAATTTGCCGTGTAGTGTTGAATACTTTAATCTACACTGCATTAGTTCATAATGAATATAGAATAACAAAGGACAGTAGTGTACATTCATACGTACATGCTGCTGCTGGGTGTGGAGGATTGTTAAATGGCTGCCCATAGACACACAGCTGTCGCTACTGTTCTTCCAGTCCAGTTTGTCTTTACTGAAGTAGTAGCACTTCCCCTCTAGATATATCCAGCCCTGAGGACACAGCCTGGCGTCCATCTCACAGATTCGTTTGTAGTTGAAGTCGCAGGGAACGTCGAACCAGGTTTTAGACTGGGACTGCAGCACGACACAGTCTTCACCTTGCGGTCCTCCAGACTCGTGATTATTGGGCTCTTTGGGAGTTTCACTCCAGTACCTACAGGAGGCGACAGCGAGACCAGGGGAGCAAAGAATAATGAACCAGGGAATGAAAAGGAAACTACAGAAGTCCGGAGAGGCCATGAGATGTTGCTATAATTTTCTGGATTGTTATCTTGAGATCACAAGATAGTTAGCTCTTTATCTCACGATAACAATTTTTTTTCTTGAAATCACAAGATATTTAACTCATTATCTCAAGACAACAACTTCGTTATCTTGAGATCACAAGACAGTTAACTTGTTATCTCAAGATAACAACTTTGTTGTCTTAAGATCACAAGATAGTTAACTTATCACAAGATAACAATCCAGAAAATCGTAACTACCTCATGGCCTCTCTGGACTTTGTAGGAAACACAAAAAAAATTATATTTCATTTATATTTCTTGCAGAATTTTATTTAACAGGCCCATTGCTGTGGGTGTTGGGGGGCGCTTATTCCACCCAATTAGAGGTTCTTTTCTTCTTTGGCCTGGGGAACACAACGTCCATTATTTCCATAAAGAATCTAAAAGGTTGACTCGTCAGACCACAACACACGTTTCCACTGTGCATCAGTCGATTTTAGATGAGCTCAAGCCCAGAGAAGTCGGCAGCGTTTCTGGACATTGTTGACATATGGCCTCTACCGTGCATAAGTAGTCTTAACCTGCGTTTGTGGTTTTTTAAAGTATTCCCGAGCCCATGTGGTGATATCATTCACAGAAGCATGCCAGTTTTTAATGCAGTGCCGTTTGAGTCGCAGGCCACAGGTTGTGGTTTTCAGCCTTTTCCTTTACGCACAGAGATTTCTCTGGATTCATTGAACTTTTGGTGATATTATGCACTGTAGAGGGTGAAATAACTAAAATCCTTCCAACCTTTGGCAGAGGAATTTCAGTCTTTAACTGCTTATTTTTTGCCGATGCATTTTTGACCTGTCTTTGCTCATAAACGACTCTGCCTTTCCTGGATGCCCCTTTTATTCACTTTTTTGGAATTGAGTTTGTATTTGTCAGACGCACTGTGGTTTAGTTTGGCATACGCTACTGTTTTATGTAAAACAAAGTGAACTCTAAAAATAAGCTTATTAACTCTAAAAAGAGGCCAGTAAATAATTAAAGAAGGTAATTACAAATTATAGAAGGTGCGTAAATGGCATTTACATGCATTTACCCTACACCACATCCATGTTTACTTCCATATAGAACTGTGACTGAGCTGAGGATAAAGCGATTTTCAGGTTCACACATTTGAATATGCATGTCTGTCCATGCAGCATTTGCCTACATGTTTGCATGGTCTTACGTTTTGTCGACCAGTGTGTTGTCCACCCATTTCCACACTCCTTCTTCTTCAGAGTCAGTCAGGCCGATCCAGAAATGATAATCTAACTCACCGATATCATGAGCGATTTTATCCAGATGATCCTATAACAAAATTATAAAACATGTTAAAGCAACTGTTTAGTGAAAAATCTAAATTTACATAATTTCCCAACCCAGCCAGCCAAGAGATCACTAAACAACTTATCATGGTCTGAGCACGTGTGATAATTTATGACTGCAGTTAGCACAATGCTAATCTGATGGCTATAAGCTTCCAAAAACTTCAAAAAACAAACAATTAGAAAGAATGTTTCATGTCTCCTGTACATGAAATGCAAACATTATTACTTTTGTAATTACCTTTACCTCATTTAATTACCGTCAAAATGAATATTAAATACAAGTTATTCATTTTTAAGGAGATATTTCTGAGACGATTACACATAAGGTAATCCACTTGCGTAAGGAAGGAGAAAGTCAAAGGTAAATGAGTGAACAATGCTAGAGTTTTGAGAAGAAACAACAAAAGATTAAAAGCTACAGAGAAAAGGGGACTCCTAACAACCACCTGGAAGACCACCAACATGTCCCCTCAGCTAAACAGCTCTGAAAGCTTTCATCTTTAAGAGCGGTGAGAAAATAAAGCTCCACTGTTGTGTTTCTTGTGTTTCTTCTAGTTATGACCCCGTGCCTTAATGTTTCCCAGTGTGTTTTTGGACAGTCTGCTGATTCTATATGATGTCCTGATGGTTTTGACCCTGCTTGTTTTTGTTAACAACTCTTCTAATAATGTAATAAATCTGCACTTGATTCCAGCTTTCATTTTGGGGAGTTAATCGGTACAGCTGTCTAGTTCAGAATACTTAAATCTACACTGCATTAGTTCATACTGAATATAAAATAACACAAATATTAATATGATAAATGATTCTAAGCTTCAGAACAGTGGTTTAAATCCACACACGTACATGCTGCTGCTGGGTGTGGAGGATTGTTAAATGACTGCCCACAGACACACAGCTGTCGCTACTGTTCTTCCAGTCCAGTTTGTCTTTGCTGAAGTAGTAGCACTTCCCCTCTAGATATGTCCAGTCCTCCGGACACGGTCTGCACGTCTTCGCTGGGGTTGGGGGTGGAGGGGTGGGGTTCACAGAGAGACAGACAAAGTACAGGGGTTAAAAAAATGTAACAATGCAGCGATGATGCAATTCTTTGTTTATACAGGCCAATTTCCACAGTAGGACCTTTTGGCTATGGATGCTGCTTCCAAACAATTGGGCTTCCTATATCTCCCTACAGTATCAGCTACAGTAACAAAACCAAGGAAGAGTGAGTGTCATTTTAAAGAGGCTGTAGCTCTCCATGGGACTGATAATGGTAGAATGTGCAACACTACTCCCAACTCCCAGTAGCCCCCACAAAGATTATTAACTGTTACTGGTCAGTTATTTCCATATGTAAACAAAACTTAATAAGAAAATGATTGAAAAAACTAAATTGAAAAATTAAAATTTGACTGACTGACAACTGGGCCACTGACTGACCAGCATCCAGCACTGTGTAACTACAATATAATACCATGTCCCTGTGAACCTGCAGTCCTATGCAGAAGTTCATACACTCTGGTCAAATTATGTCACGTATGTTTTGTTGATTCTTGAAGTGGAAATAAGTTAACACAGGGAATCTACAGGGAACAAAGTTAAATATGACAAATTTTGTGCACGATTTCTATTTCTGCAGATTTTAACATACTGGAAAACAATAAAACATTAAATATAACATGTCTCATAACTTTTGCACAGGCCACATTTTATGATTCAGTTTTTTTCCTATATGTTAAATTCAGCAAATAAACAGTAATTGTGCGTTTAAATGTGCAGAAAAGTGTTCTCTGTGGAGGATGTGATAACTTATTTTCACTTACAAAATCAACAAAACATATAATAACTTGCCTTCCTTCTGCATTCAAAAACCCCAAACATTACAAATCAGCACGCTTCCAAAAGTCCACCCTAAAGGAATTAAAGTTTTCAAAAATTCCTTCCACCTTTAAGGAACATCATTAAGGGGTTTTTATTGTAGTCTAAACCAGAAAATCTCCCTGCGACACCACTGTAGGTGTTCACAACAGATGCTGCTAAGATTATGGTAATTTCATTTTGGCCAGAGTGTCTTTTTAAGTGTCTCACCTGTTACTGAACAGTTTTGTTCCAGAGTGGTGTTGGAGCAGAAGCAGTAGAAGCGCTCCTGAAGGGCGGTCAGATCCAGAGGCTGAGCAGCCGCCTCCGCCTCCGAACCACTGGATTCGCTGTTCGTCACTGCAGGCCGCGTGGGAGAGAAAGAGTTTACTGAAGTTATTCTTTAACTACACTGTCTGAAACGGATCAAAATGACATTACTGTGGAATCTTTCCCTGCTGGAGCTCCTCCAGACAGACAGACACACAGACAGACAGACGGATAGATACACTCTCACATACACACACTTACAGAAGAGGATGCTGCCTTATGGGGAATGTGTGTGTGTACGTGTGTACGTGTGGAGGTATGTTAACTCACAGGGAACACCGAGCCCAGTGTTCACACAGAGAGATGCCAGCAGAGCGAAGAACAGAACAGCAGCCATCTGACCTCAAACGCTCTACACACTCTTTAATAACACCTGCCGGAGCACAAGATTACACAGATACATAGACAGTTAGATAAATAGATACATAGATAGATAGACAGGTAGGTAAACAGACCGATAGACAGACAGGTAGATAGGTAGATATGTAGATAGATAGACAGATAGATAGATTGACAGACAGACAGACAGACAGACAGACCGATGGAAATAGATAGATAGATAGATAGATAGATAGATAGATATATAGATAGATAGATAGATAGATAGATAGTCAGATAGACAGATAGATAGACAGATAGATAGATAGACAGACAGGTACAGACAGACAGATAGACAGACAGACAGACAGGTATTTAGGTAGATAGATTGATATGTGGGCAGATAGATAGCTAGCTAGCTAGCTAGATAGATAGATAGATAGATAGATAGATAGACAGACAGGTACAGAAAGACAGACAGGTATTTAAGTAGACAGACTGATAGACATGTGAATATACAGATAGACAGATAGGTGGACAGATAGATAGATAGACAGATAGATAGACAGACAGACAGATAGATATATAGGTAGATAGACAGACAGGTACATAGATAGACAGGTATGTAGATAGACAGACAGATAGACAGGTATTTTGGTAGATAGACTGATAGACAGGTGAATATATAGATTGATAGACAGATATATAGTTAGATAGATAGACAGACAGGTAAACAGACAGACAGATAGATCTCACATGGTTCCCCGTTACCTTGTCTGCACTGTGGTGGGTAGAGGATGGGCTTGTGAACTCCTGTGAGCTTTCTCTGCTCCTCTTTCCAATTTTATCCCTCTCTTTTATGCGTGACATGTGAACCACGAGAGAGAGAGAGAGAGAGAGAGAGAGGCCAATGCCAAAAGCAGAGGGAATCTGGAAGAGGCTAGAGTTGGCGGGAAAATCAGGAGCAGGGAAAGTTCTAATTGAGCAATAACAGAACACTTATTACATAATGTGGACATTTCAAAACCCTGAAAAAACAACACAAACATCTCAGAACAAGCAGTCCACAATCAGTCAGTGAGTCATTACTTCTATGACAATAATGAAATTAAGTCGTTATTTTGAGATTATAAGTCAACATTTTGAGAAATGCAATCATTATTTTGAGAAAATAAGTCATTATTTTAGATTCTAAGTCAACATCTTGAGAAAATGAGTAATTATTTTTGATATGCTACACAGTGCTGATTTTCTAGCACAACCTAAAAAATATAAACGAAAACACAGACTTACTTTGCTCTGCTTTAAGCTTTAGCTCAGCTATAGCTGCTTTTGTCGCATCCCCAGTTTCTTGTTCGAATTTTCCCGTTCCACCTTAAATGGTACCCGAGGTGCCATAATGTAGCTAGCTAACTGCTGCACCATTTAAGGTGGAACGGGAGAATTCGAAAGAGAAGTTGGCGAACGAGAAGCCTCGCAAATTTTTACTGACCGTTTCTCGTTGCAGTTTAAACGTATCAGGAAACCTACGACGGGCTTTTAGGGCCTCTGTTAATAAAAATAAAAATAGTAGACTTCGAGAATAAAGTCGTACTATTTCGAGAAAAAAGTCGCAATATCGTGGCCAAAGGCTTCGCACAGTGAAGGCAGCACCTGGTGTTAAATGAGGGGTGTTGAGTTGGTGGAGTTCTACTTTCATATCGATTCACCCATAAAGAAACACTCAGTCTCCCTGTCTCTAAACCTTGTTTATCTGGAATAAAGAGCCAGACGGACTCGGAGGAAACTGTCCGTCTGTGTTGTTGAAGGAGAACTGCAGGCAGGGTCGTCTACACGGCTATCGGGGGCTACATCTCCCCCCATTCAAAGAGGGCATGAAGTTTCACAGACAGTGAGAATGATGATCAAAATGATCCACAGAGAGACAGGAGTGAATGGAGCTCCGGCGCCAGTACAGCAACCGAGACCCCAACGCGTTATGGCAGCCCCCCTACAGTACAGCAGCCCACTTTATCCTCCAAATTTTCCGACTTTTTTCTCGAAATATGACTTTTTTCTCGAAATATTACGACTTTTTTTCTCGAAATATTATGGCTTTTTTCTCTCGAAATATTACTTTTTTTCTCGAAATATTACAACTTTTTTTTCTCGAAATATGACTTTTTTCTCGAAATATTACGACTTTTTTTCTCGAAATATTATGGGTTTTTTCTCGAAATATTACGACTATTTTCTCGAAATATTATAACTTTTTTTCTCGAAATATTACAACTTTATTCTCGAAGTCTACTATTGGCCCTAAAACGCCGTCGTAGGAAACCAGCTGGAGTGCTTATAAAAGCAAATCAGTCCATTCGTCTCCAAATTATCGACGTTCATCTTAAATCTCTCTCTTAGCCGTTTCATTAGCGACTAGCTAGGCGAGACTGCCTGCGTTGCTATGGTGACCAGCAGTCTGCGCACCAATCCTCAGGGTTAAAGGTCGGTGAATTAGTAGATATATATTAATTCCAGCGTTTAAAACCATTAATGTTAAAACTGTATTGAACGACCAGCAGAGTTTTATTTTACTGTAAAGGAGAATTATTTTATTTTTACCTACAAATCTAATTCTGCTGTGGAGCCACAACAGGTTTCTTTGAGTGATATCATTTAATAACCACTTCTCTTTTCATAAAGAACCTTCTCTGAAAATAAGATAACTTAGCTATGGCTGCAGTAATCATGTAGTGGTGACTTGCTATGATGCTGTTATTGCCATATGGTTAATATATATGATTAATGCCATAGTTAAGTGACTGTTACATTAGTCATATAGCAATAATTTAGCTGCATTAATCACATGGCAGTGACTTGCTATGGCTACTATAGCAATGTATCAGGGACTTAGCTACGCTTAGCTAGCCATAGCTAAGTCACTGCTATATGATTAATGCAGCATAGCTAAGTCACTTCTATATTATTAATGCAGCATAGGTAAGTCACTGCTATATGATTAATGCAGTATAGGTAAGTCACTGCTATATGATTAATGCAGCATAGGTAAGTCACTGCTATATGATTAATGCAGCATAGGTAAGTCACTGCTATATGATTAATGCAGTATAGGTAAGTCACTGCTATATGATTAATGCAGTATAGGTAAGTCACTGCTATATGATTAATGCAGCATAGGTAAGTCACTGCTATATGATTAATGCAGTATAGGTAAGTCACTGCTATATGATTAATGCAGCATAGGTAAGTCACTGCTATATGATTAATGCAGTATAGGTAAGTCACTGCTATATGATTAATGTAACAGTCACTTAACTATGTCACTTAATTATCATATAGCAGCGACTTAGCTATGGCTACAACAGCAATATAGCTGTAACTTAGCTAAGTTGCTGTTGTATGATTGCAGCCATAGCTAAGAGGGTAAAAAACTTGTGAAGGTTTAAAAAAAGTTTTTATAACAATTTGATTCTTTCAAGAATGTTAACCTTTAAAGATGTGCTTCACACTCAACTGACACACATTTATAAAAATAGTTGTCTAAAGAGCCATCCATTGAAAGATTCTTTAGGAAACCAAAAGTGGTTCCTCTACCCCATCACGTAAAAGAACGCTTTTTGGCAAGAGTGTGAATCTGATCAGTGCTGCACCAAAATTCTGCAGAAGAGTCAAAAAGAGCTCAACTCGCTGGACATTTGGCCAAACAGGACTGACTGTCCATTTTCTCCTGAAAGACATCACAGTGTCACTGATCTAAAGCACCACTCTTATGAAGCACCAACAGCTACTGCAGTGCTAATGGCGCCCTCTTGTGGAGAATCTTCAGTCCTCCTCAAGCCAGATCCATGAGGTGCTTTGCACCAAATTAAATCACATTTACATTTACAAAGGCTTCTGAACCTTCGGCCTGTAGTGGGTCAACATCTCTGCACTCTCAGAAGGTTTTCATTCTTTAGGCCACTGTGAACCACATCTATTTGTTAGATGCCACAAGAGCAGGTTAACTTGTGTTCAGTTTGGGTGACTGTGCTTATAGGTCAATAGGGTGAGCTAAATAAAACAGTGAGATGAGTCTGACCACACACAAGGTAAACATGGACATTGGTTTCATGCAGTGAAGTGGACCATGAACTCCTGAACTCCATCAGAGAGAGAGTGAGAGTGTGAGCAGAAAACTGTTGGTGACACAGCATTGAGTAGAAACGGTGAGTCAAGTTCTAACCCTGACTCTGCAGCCAGAGAACAACTTGTGAAACGTATCTAGATCAAGCTGATCTGGCCAAACATGACTGCACGTTCTAATGCGGGAAGTCCACTGGCTGAGACTTCATGTTTTTATCTTACAAATGTCAAGAAAGAAATTATTTTGTGAAAGTATTTATTACGAGGTCATTGTTTTGCGATAGTAAACCATTTTGACATAGTAAGTCATTTTGACAAAATAAGCAATTTAAGCATAGTAAGTCAAAATTCTAAGAAACTAAGTTATTATTTTGAAATAAGTCAATATTTTGAAAAATTAAGGTTTGGGCCTGGTTAAAAAACATATTCGGGCCATAGCCCCAGAAGCCCAGGCCCAGGCCAGGTGATGCCCCTGCTTTACATGCAATGCTGCAGAAGAAAAGCACTGAGCATGCTTTGTGAGTGACTGCACCCAGCTCACTCTCTCTTCAGGTAGAAGAACTAAGGGTACAACCTGAGACCCCACAGGCCAGACAGGGTCACTACTCACAAGGCACGCTTCCACAACAGCTTTCTTCCAGCTACTGTCAGACTGACTGCTAAGGACATCAAGGGTGAAAAGAAACCCCACAACCCCCACCTCATTCACAGCATATGAATGACTTAACACTTCTTATAAAATGGATAGTTCCGGTCCTAAAATCTGATTGGCTGAGCCGCCATTTTATAAAAGCAATAAGCCACTCGTTTTAATAACGCACACCTTACAGACTGGGTACTTCACTATCTCGCCCCTCGCACTCTCCATGTCTCTATCACACAGAGAGAATACATAATATATGCAGATTATAGGCCTTCAAAACAGATTTAAAGAAAAAATGATCTGAATTTTGCATTTTGTATCAGCAGAAAACCATTAAGACACTCGCATTTCAGGTAACATAAGCAGTATTACAGCTCAGGTTAATATAAACTACCTAAAGACGTGAGATACATCTGAACGTGTGTTTTTCATATTCGTAATGTTTTGATCTAAATGTCTGTTTAAATACTTGAAATTTGTTTTTAAGGCAAATATATGCAGTAAAAATTCTGCTACTCTGTTAATCATGAAACTAACACTTACATTTAGATTTATGCAAAGAAGTAAAAATGATGAGAATGGCAACAACGTATACATTTAAATAAGCTGCTTTCATTTGCATAACTGTTATATCATCCTTATTACATATTATGTGTACTTTATTGAAGGTTAATGAGTGGAATGCATTGTCCTTGTGTGTGTGTGAGTGCTAATCAGGTGTTGGTAGGATGAGTGTAAAGAGCTCCATTTGGCAGAAGGCCAATGTATCCAAACTTTTGACTGATATCACAGCTGAGTGCACTTAAAGTGTGAATGCAGAACGTTGGCTTTAAATTGGAAGGTTTACCTGTTGAGCTACTGCCATGTTTTACCATTGACTGTAAAAACCTACAGCAGGTGTGTCCAGTTTCAACCACAAAGGGCCGATGTGTCTACAGACCTTTATTCCAACAAAGATCACATGACCAGCTGTTTGAACACCATCTGAAGGCCGATAGATTAAAAGTCTCTTTGTACATTTGTGATTTGATACCGCTGACCTACAAAATCCTCTAGTCTACTCAACCTTGTCTCAGCTCTGCTGGCTGGATATTTTTGGTTCTCAGTCCAGCAGTAACACTGGTGGTGTGTTAGTGTGTGTTGTGCTGGTGTGAGTGGATCAGACAC